ACAGACTAGTTAAGGACGCAGACTGTACTGGTTAACTGAACTGAGCTTATTCTTAAGCAGCATCCAATAATTAAAACATTTAAATAACTGGCACTAACGGAAGAAAAATAGATTGAAATTCAAAACTTGGGGGAGAAAAAGAAGAAAGATGGCTACTGGATAAAACCTAAAAACTTTGAAAAAAATACAGCTTTCCATAACTCACTTATCGAACTAATTAAATGTTTCCATGAAAATCTTTGTGGAATTACAGTAACGAGAGTTCACGTATATCAGTTTGATTTTAAAAGTCGGATCACATCCTAGCTTGTGCATACTGTAATTCGCCATGTGCTAATTTCTTCTTGTTTGTTATAATCTACTCCTATGTCCATAGTGGTGGAACAATGAGATTATGGCTTTTTCTATTGGAATGAATCTGAGATGCTCCACAGAACAACTCCGAAGATTGAACCTCATTATCTGGTCAAGATCAATACAGTTTTAACTGATACTGTCTTTATATCGAAATTAAATATTCTTCTGAGATGTTAGCTCTGCTTCTTCTATTGTGTCGTTTCAGAGCAGAAACTAGTTTATTGGGTAGCATACGAGATCTAAGATGAAAGTTCTTGAAAAATGAGTCGAGTTCCTTGTTATTCTTAGCCCCTCCTCTTCTGAGCAAGTGTGAGCAAATTCGTCGATCATCAGAACTAATCGGAGATATCATAATTATATGTGCTATGATAGTTTAAGGTAAATTCTTCAGTGGAAACGAATTGATATGAATACAACGAAAAACAGTCAAACACTTCAAGGCTCAGTGTAGAGAACTGCGGAGGTGGTATCAAGTGACTGGAAACAAACTACAATAGTTTGTACAAGTAGCCGTTTACATTTCTATCCGATGAGTGAGAGTTGTCCGTCGTGCTCTAATTGAACTGAGACCAGACTTGGGAGTACAGTTAAACAAAGTGACAGTATCGAATAAAATCTTCATTCAGATGATTTTCAACGCATTTCATGAATATAACTGAACTCTCCCATAGAGATTTCATTCAGTTGAACGGTTCTTATAATAATTTAAAAAATGAGGGCAGGAAGAGTTATTCCAAATATGGCCGGCACTCTTGATCTAAATGATCTTGACAAGCACAGTAGTAAACATCTTGAATTCCTAATTTTGGATCAGGACCACATTTCGATTCGCCAGATTGTGGACATTTAGTTGAGCAAGTAAATTGATTTCCATTCAGAGAACTATAGGATGAGTAGAAACACTATTTACGGGAATAAAAAACTTACGCAACAAATCTGCAACATCTTTCAGCTCGAGAACACTGAACAAGAGAAACATTGTTAATCTCTTGTTCCCATATCTGCCATCCAGAATAGCATTGTAATGCAGTCGAAAGATTAAACAAACATATGAAAAGAACTGTCAAAGTTTTTGTTTCCATGTTCTGAAAATCAAAAGTTTGTATGCGACAAGACAGAGGAACACGAATTGAGAAATGGCACGGGGATGCTACGTTTTCAACGAATTTTATGCTCCATCTATTTATTTAATTTTTTTTCAAGCTGGTTTTCAATCTTGGCGTTGAGTAAGTTAATTCTGTTGGCACAGATACTGGGCAGGACAGGTTTCTTGCTTCCTGCATTACACTTGAATATGTACTAACTGACTGCAGTTTTCATAACTGTTGTCTTCTGATTTAGAAAAAAAACGGAAAAAATAGTTTAAAACCATTAAAAGCACATGTAAACCAAATGTTGACAATGGAACTCTAGGAGTAAGTTCAAAGAGAAATCTCTTGTTTGATTTAGAAAACTAATGAGTCAGAAGTTCGGCAAAGAAATTAAAAAAGACCCATCTGATAATGCGACAGAGAATTCGTCTGAATATCATTTCTGTACTTTTATATATAACTTTCCCAGTATAAAAAGTTATAGTAAATAAACAAAGAGATAAGAACTCTCATAACCCAACGCTATCAACAGTACGGAGCGAGCGTTTGACTGAAAATGCCGAAGAGGATCAACGTGTTTTCACGTAACTCAAGGCGGAACATATAATTCATAGATATACTGAATGAATTTATTTTTTTTATGTATGATAGTGTAATCATAGTATCCCTTATTATATAATTTAAAATTCAATTAAACATGTAAAGTCTTGATTCAAGTGTGAACTGGAGCCGGAGCGTTTTCTCAAATCTATCACAAAATTTTATCTCTCTCATTCGTTTTTCTTATTCTCTCCTCTGATTATTGAATGTTCTAACCTATCTTTTTTGATTCTTCTTTGTCTTTATCTTTCTTCCCTGTTCTCATCGTTTAGAATGAATGCCATCCTACTAGAAGCAGACTGGAGGATATGGTGGCAGCTGGTCCCCCTGGAGGACAGCTAGAAGCACATCCGATGTGTAACGATTGGAAAATACTTGGACATTCATCCATTCATTCAGTTAGTCAGTCTCATCGCCCACCTGAGTGCGATAGAAACAAAACGTCTTTTCATCAAATGCTCATAATCAATTTTCTAACACTCTTGAAATCATTTTCCTAATATTTTGAGCTTTATTGAAAAGTTTCAAAAACTTATTGATTGTAGGTAGTTTAATCATGTCCCCTCTGACGGCTGCACGTTATGCTAAGGATGATGTAGATCAGGAGACTAAATGGTGGAAGGAATTCCCCAGAACGTTAGTTATTCAATCATTTCACTTCGTGACCTTTTTAATTTAAGTAAGTATGTTGAGCGTGCTCGTGCTCAACCTATGTATGAGAACTACATGAGCGAAATCTGGTCTAAGCCCAAAAGAATGGCTAGAAGTGCTTCCTTCACTAACTTGACCTATATCAAAGAAGCTGTTCACGACTTCCCCATCCATAAGGCGGATTCCGTTTCTTCCTTAGCTCCATCTTTGGCCCTGCCACAGCATATGAGGTAAATATTTTTCTTTTGCATGAGCCGGAAAACGTTGAAAACGTGCTCAATGCATTTCTGATGTATTATACAAAGCTTGTTTGTTCTTCAGAGAAGCCGAGAGAATTGTTCATACTGTTCCAGTTTACAAACCACACGTGCATAACTGGTATACCAACAGCTATTCTCAAGCTCGATTCAAGGTAATTCATTACATCTTAGTTGTTTTTAAATGCTACTATCGAACAGTATATTTCTAATTGTTAGGATACGCACGATGTTATCAACAAGCCTTACAAGCCTGCCGTCAATTACGTGTCTGAAGCTTCCAGTCATGTGCCTTTTTACACCTTCCAAACCAAGAGAATTTTCTTCAACGAAGTAATTCAAATTTATGAAATGTTCATGATATACAATTTTTACAGAAACTGAATAATCAAAAGTCTTACTTACGTCAGTCTCAAAACTACCTCGACAGATATGTCGGTGCACGCTTGAAGGTAGGAGTTTGAAACTAACCACCATTTCTACGGCGTTCTTTAGGCTGATGATTACGCCAATCGGTTTGCATATTCAGCTTATGAATGGAGAAAGCCTCAAGACCACAGCTTCAACAGACATTTCATGTACGATCACGGGGTAAGCAAGATAATTTAAAATTTCAAGTTAACCAAATTACTTTCAGGTAACTGTTTCTACTCCAACTGGAAACCCTGTATCTTTCTACGATAAGCAATCGTTGAGAAGAATGTACAAGTTGACTGGAAGATTCTATTTCTAAAGATCTTCTCAGTATGAGCAAGCGGTTCTTATAACATGTAATCTAAACTTTCGAACTCTTAAACCTTACTCATTGAATATGTAGTAATCCTGTGAATGTTCATTTCAACTAATCTTTGAAAAATAAATATGGATTAGAAGTTCACATTAGTACTCATGCACTTCGCTGTAAATGAGAGTATCTCTAGGCAGATTCAGCTTGAAAAACTCGCTACAGGACCATTTACAAAGGAGTTTCAAGCATCTGATAAGGATACTATCGCGGGCAAAGACAAAAGACTAACAAATATTAAGAATCAGATCAATACATTAGCGTAAAGCACACTTCTCTTTTTATTTTATGTATTGATTTAAGCTATTATCCCTCTAACAGTGTTTTTTGAGATGTTTGGGCCGATTTGTACTGGAACGTTCTTGTTCATTTCACTTTGGGGGACTGTCTTCTTGGTGAGTAGAAACTGTTCTACCGCCTGTTTTGAAACATCCTTGACGGGAAAATTCCGAAATGTATGAAACTGTTACTGCTTATAGAGTATTCTCGGAGGATTATATTATAATCAATCAGTTGGTCTTTTTGAAGATTTACCAGCTGAAGACAAGGGAGCTGTTGAACATCAGACCTGGCCTGAACGAGTGAAAAATATTAATAAGTTTGTAAATTTAATTGAGATTGTTGAGGATGTTTCATAATTTCAGGTTATACTCTCAAAATGCTTATAATGCCTGGATCGCTGCTGGTGTTTATGCTGGATTAGCCTTGTTACTAACTTTCCGAGCTTGCTGCTTGATTCGTCAGAAGTAAATATTTTATGAAATCCTTACTAAAATCCTTCAAATGATTAACCATCAGAATAGGCTAGATGTTTTGTTGTACTTCGGAAGTTGTGCAGAGTTATAAGTAAATGCTTTATGGCTCATGTTTCTCAAATTTTGTATGTATATATTTATATATATATTTATAATGATTTTAGTGTTAAGAGAAGAAGCTTAATCAGAAATCAATATAAACGTTTTAAAAAAATAATTTATTATTTTCAAATAGAAATCTCACTTTTGGAAGCTTTTATAAGAGCAAAAGATTTTTAAAAAATTTTGAAAACCGTAAGGAACCCAATAATTATAAAAACATATTGCAAACAAACAATTCAAGAATTATAACAATCAATCTTCAACTCGTAGTGTAACTATGGAATATGGCTTTTCAAGACTTGTTTTTAACGATTCTATTGTAACATTATTACTGTCATGAATTCCACTTAGAGACGTGTGCAGCAGATCAGAACTTCGAGATCTTAGATAGTTGTAAACATCTTCCTGTAATGGCAAAACATGAAATAAAAAAATAATTTTCTCTCACCAGTTTGCCCGTGCATGATTTTTTCAATGCAAAAGCTGAATCAAATACTGTCCGACGCAAAACTAACAGAGACGCTTTTGATGAGATTGGTCTCCAGGAAACTAATTGGATTGAGCAAGGCCATTCGAAATCGAACCATTTTTTGTCCACTAAATAGAACAGAAGCTATTTATTCTACAAAAAGAGACTTACTCTGCTTCACATCTGAATACATAACACTAGGAGGGTAAAGCATGTCATTCCAATGAGAGGTAGCCAGTTGACTGAGGGCCGGTGATTCAGCCACAACCCTAGAAAGAAAAAGAAAGTAACATCTATTGCGTTTGAAGAACAGAACTGATTTTTCGATTTCTCTTCAAAAATAATTCTGTACTTTACATGAGCGGATCGACTCTGAAACATGTGATTTCTTATTCATTATATGAAAGATTTGATACGTCTAAAGCATCTCCGAACCATAATCCTTTTCCGTCTTGTCCTGTCTGCCTTCTGTCCATCATGAGGTGTAACTCACCAGGCCTAGGTGAAGTAGCAGACAGTGGTTGCCCTGAAAATAGGTTAAGAAATTCATATTCCTTTTCTGATGGAATGAGGGAATGCAACCGTTCTGAACTCTGATCATCATCCAGACTTACCTGTCAAAACTGTTAATCTTGACTCGTCATCTTCCAAAAATACTGAAGCAGCGACAGGATAAAAATTGGCTTCGTAAGGTAGACCTGCATTATCCATGGCACTGAAATGAATTTTAACTATGATTTTTGAATAAACGTTGAGACTTACTTCATGAACTTTCTCTTCCTATGGAACAGACCATTGATATCTGTATGGAAGGCATTGGTATTCAAATCAGTTGAGATGGACATAAACAGGGCTTCGTTGTCCGGAACATCGGTGTCAACATCAATGTCAATGCCATCTTCAATGCTATGTGAATTAGAAATAGTCTAAACAACATATTTCAATGAGATAAGAATGATCCTCTCATACCACTACGAGCTTTCTGTTCTGGAAGAAAATTTTTCGTTTATAACTGGTTGGCCCAAAAGATTCTTCATAATGACTGATATTAACCTGAAGAAAAGAATTAGCGATATAACAAAATTACTAAAGAAAACTAACAATTCTCTTATCACCTCTCGGTTCGAATGTATATGCTCCTCCAGTATCATCAATTTCGAAAAAGTTGATACGTAAAACTCTCAAAAATCCGTTGTGAATGAAACTCTAAATCAATTTTCTCAGTTATATTTGAGTATACATTATTGTAGTTTACTCACTTTTACAGAATTGTTCTGATCGAATATTAGTAAAGGTGCTACAATCGGAGGTTTTCTTGGATCAGGCGCGTTCTGAGCTATCAGCTCAAACACTGTGGTGGACATAGCTGGCAAATCATAAGTAAACAACATCTATAAGGAATCAACTGATTTTGGTCAAGTAAGATGAAGCCTTACTTCATATTTGTTAGCATTTGATGTAACAATGAAAGCTTGTATATCCTTATTATCACGGAACACCCTAGCTGGGGTGTCAGCAACAACCTTAATCTCTCGATTAACTGTGAAGATATTCGAGTTGAAAACGGTGATATAAATTCTGAAGTAATGGAAGAAATAAATATTAAGAGTCTTCACTATTACTTCTTATTTTCTTTCAGTTGTAAAATAGTGTCGGATTCCATCAAATCTGGTCGTGTCAACGAAGAGTTCATCAACTTGTTTAATTCTCTTTTAGTTATTTCGTATGCTTTGACCATCCTTATTTTAAAAATTGAATTGAGTTCTTCAATAAGGTTTACCTTTGTTCATAATCAGCCATGACTGGTTTTTTCGAAGTTCCTGTTATCCCATCGTGATGTTGGTAGAGAGCGAGATTACGTTTTGCCTCTCTTAATGATTCGTAATCATATACTCGCGATTTTTCCAAATGTAAGAGTAAATCCAATTGTTGAATATTGGCCTACAAAGCTCTCAAAATGTATGAAAGAGTTACGAATAACCTTACTTGTAATACTCGCTCCATTCGCTTAGTGAAGGGGCGATGAGTGAAGTATCCAGTCCACCAGGGATTCGGCTGATTTCTGTTACTTGTATACGGGAACAAATCACCTCTCAAAGAAGGAATGTTCTCATCCTTAACAGCGTTGTAGAAATCTGATACAGTTGAGAAGCGGATCTGTAAATACTTGTGTAACAAAATATATATTTATATTATCTTACTTTCGTTCTGTACTCGGGGAAACGGTCTAAGTATATCTTCATTTGGTTGAATCCATGGAACATTTCATCAAAATCAGCGGGGTCTTGGAAGAAAAAATCATCACCGATAGCCACCAAATGATGCTTAGATCCGTAAAGCTTCTGCACTTGCTTGATTTGACTGAGAAAGCGTTTTGTGCTAAATAGGAATCATGAAATATAAGAAGCTCAGAATGATCACTTACAGTTTTTCAAGCTTTGGGGCATCTAAGCTAACCATTCTATCCTGTGGTGAGCAGCTAGCTCGACTAGACGGGCCGACGTGGAAACATCGACAAATCTATAATATTTGGTTCTCATAAGGTACACCAGTAAGCTTGGTTTCTCACACTACTATCTGGACAGGCACTTTCCGTCGTATAAACAAAGTATGGTAACGAATTCACATATGGTCCGCTGGATTGATCCTACATATATATAAATGATTAATATTTTTTTAACAGATGAAGCAAACGTTTGTATACAAATCATTCCATCTCCAACGTAAAGTTTGATGTTGTCTTAAGTGTTCTTTGATGTGATCATGGAAGCGGCCAATGACCATGTAATCGATTCCGGCTTTAGGTAGAAGATAAGGTAACATCGCTCCATGACCAAACGGGTCGACAGACCTAAAAAAAGAAACATCTTTATGCTTATCCGAGCAGCATCTCACCAAGAAGTGTTTGGACGAACTTTTAAAGTGTCCCAGATGAATTGATGTCCTTCTATCATATTTTCTATTGCTGGATAGAATAAGGGTGTTGCTTCGTCAGTCATTACCCAAGCACCTCCCGTTATTTCGAGCTTTCCATTATGGACAAGACTAAAAATATATCTGATGTACCGAAAGGCTGAAAAGTCTTACTCAGTCATCTTCTTTCTATCAATCTCTGAAGCATCTCTCCACCAGCGTTCAAGAAAAGATGTTTCAGACCAAATGAAGCGTAATTCAGGATATTTATGTAATGCTTTGACAGCACTATCAAGAATATGAGAAGTTTGTTGTTTGTAGTAATCTTCAAAAGTTTTCAGCCATCCTAAATGGTCTAGTTTATAGTCTGATGCAAAAAATTGCAAAACCGGGATCAACATGCGAATGAAAAACTAGATGAATAGTAAGGTCTTCAGGATTTTGTCTCACTTTTTCCCGATTAAATTTAATTTCATGACCGTTGACCTGTAAATATGAATGAATATGTTGCAGTCAACTATCGAACAAACCTCAATGTCAACTGGAGGAAAAGAGAAATTTGCATAAATTGAAGAATCAATATCTGTTTTTTGTTGTGATAATGTGAGCATTTCATTTCGTATGTTGTTTGAACTGCAGTTTTCAATTGTGATCTTGTCTAATGTTTGTATGTACGTCTTTGGATTATACTGAAAGAGAGCATATATAGAGAAAATGGCAATATGAAAAGTAAACTGACTGATTCATCTATTGAATTTTCAAATAATTCTGAGCTAAAAAGAAAAATAACAATAAATACTCCTATAACTACAAATGGCCATCTCTTCATAACCTGAAAATATAAATTACGGGAAAGAAAAGCAATTTTAGTGAGCTGTCTACAATTTCAAGAAAGTAAACCGTTTAATGTAAACATTGAGAGGAATGGGAGATTAAGGACTTCTTCTACATAAGTACATATGTACATATATATGTAAAGAGATCTCTCTTAATTATAAAACTTATTTGAGTTAAATTCAAAATAAATCGATTGATGCTTATAACTAAACCGTTTAGATGAGTGAAGCGTCTTTGAATTTACATATTTCCTGTTTTGAAATAATTGGAATAATATGCTAATCAGTCCAATTCGTTTGAAACGTCGAACGTCGTGGAGATTAGTGAGTTATGATTACTATTCTGGCTTCAACAAAAAACTTTTTTCAAACAAAACATTTCTCATTGAGAAAAAAGAAAATGGATAGAAAGAGCAACCGTTCGTTGGAAACGACATTGTGGAAATGAGATATCAGCAGTCGCTTGGACAGAAATCCGTTTCACACATAACTGCCGATCAAAATTAAAATTTCAAAATCTCGCTTGAACATTATGAAAAACTTGCTATTTATTAAAAAGGAATAGTTAAAGAGGAATAGTGAATGTTAGAGAGAGAGAGAGAGAGAAAGAGGGAGGATGGGTGGGGGGATGAGAACGACGAGAGTAAGTATTGAAGTTGAGGAGATAGAGAAAGAATGATGGAAGAGAAGACCATAGGGTTTCACATTTAGGGGATAACCCACTCTACGATGAATTCGGTTTATCATTAGGGCTGACGTTCACAAGACTTTCTATGGTTGCTAAGCAGAATTAATGACTCTTTTTAGAAACGGAATGCGTGGCATTGATTTTGGGAGTGTAAAAGAAATAATTATAGTGTTTTGCATGGATTAAGCGTACAAACGTGGATCGAAAAGAAAAAAAAAGGAGAACATTAAGGAATAATCCTTCAATTGATACCTGAAACTAACTTAGTGACGTTGAAACAGTTGAAATAGTGACGATATGCCCGTTCAACTGATAATATGAATAATATTTTATTGCCGAATCAATATTATTTATCTGAGAAAAAATTTTCGAGCATGATGAAGAAGATATGAAGCAGGGTGTACTGTTTGTTACATGCCCATTCGCTTCAGTCTCCTCAAAAGTAAACGGAGCAATGATAGTGAAGCATCGTCATGTAAGTGAATCAGGCAGAGTTTTTAAACTTGATAAGCCTCGAAAACAAATACAATTGATGTAGCTGATAAGTCAAGATGGAAAATATAAAAGGAGAAAGGTAGACGAAGGCGAACAAAAACAAAATATGAAAATGTGAATAATGAAAAAAGGCAATATGAATTTAATAATAAACACATTCGTATGATCAAGTTAGAAGAGACCGTAGTTGTAGTTTGGTGGTTACTCTATAACTTTAATTGATATATTTAGAGAAAAGCATTTGTTCAAATAGCATTGCACTTCTTCTTGAATAAGCACAGCTGGCGCTGTAGGGGCACGGAATTTCCATATTAGGTCAAAAACGAATGTATACTTTCTTCTATTGAAACTATTAGATTGAAAAGCTGGTAGAGAAGGTTACTAAGAAAGGGTTCTGAGATGGTGTATTGATTGTAGACTGAAAGAGTTTATTAGGGGAGATCTAGGTGACTTTTATAAAGATATCTGATTTCTCTGTGGATATTTTATTTCTTTCTGTTTCTTTGATTTTACCGATCTTCAAACTCAAGTTTTAATCAAATCTGAATAAGCTTCTTCTAGTTGGAATATCCCATACAACACTCCCGTTTTACTTTTTTTTTGAAAATTTTTTTTTATTTTTCTATTTTTCATTTTTCTCTGAGCCTCCCCCACTCCTATGATATCTGTAAGGATTTTTTTCTTTCTAACAAAAGCTCTGAGAAGATGCAACAACAGGCAGTGCCTGCTTCATCTTATCCAAGCTGCCAATGTCTATCCAGCCCACATTCATCGGGTAGTCAAGATTCTCTCGTAATCATTTTCTTCTCTTATCCTTTCTCACTTCCTCTCTCTCTCTTCGTGAGTTAAACCCACCTTGTTTCTTTTCTCTTCTTCTCTCCTACATTCTATGATGCCAACTTCTATCTCTTTTCACACTTTCTTCTGCTCTCGATAGCTTGTGAACTTCTTGTGCTTGAATATAGCGCTTTCTTTCTTATATCATATCATATCTATATCTATATTAATCTATAAATATATGTATACAGATAGTATAAACCTAAGAAATCATCATCATGCCTCAACCCGTTCACCTTCAATACAACTCTCCTATGCAGCTATATTCAAAGTAAGTTGTTGCGCTCAAAGCTTCATCTTGTAAAAATCATAAAAACATATCCCGACCAGATGCTTTTAAACTACGCATTCCGAATTAATTCCTCATTAAAGCACTTACTGTACTTCTAATTCTACCAACTAATGTTTGATGTTAGTTCTCATTTAAAACTTTTTTGTTCATTTAACATACACTCACACTTTACAACAAAGAGATTTTTCAAGTTAAGCTGGTTTTAAGCTTGGGCACAATCTCATTCGTTCAATACTTGAATAGCCACTTGCTCTATAACCAACTGTCCATCTTTTGATTTCTAAATTATGATGTTACAAAGAAATGACCTAAATATGCAAATTTCAAACAAACAAAACTAAGCATGAGAATATAGTTCACATAAGTTTTGCTGTGACAAAACGGGCGAGAGGACTATTTCGGTGCATTCTGTTCAAACGCATTTTCATAAACAGCACAGCCGGTACTCAACAAATATCGTTTCGAAATGAAATCTGGCGTTTAGCGATTATGTAAATCTGGCGTAAGAGAATTGTAGTGAAAGTTATAAAAAGTTTTTGTTTTTCTTTATTTTTGAAAAGCCAATTGGTAGATGTTATGTTGTTGAAAACAATGAAAAATAAATGAAACCAAGAAATGTAAAACAATTCTTTTAGGGAATCTGCTGAGGAACAGTTTGTTCAACAAGTTGGAAACAATGCTCCTGTTGCTTTGCCAGCGGCTGATAAGCATTTTGATCCTGCAAAAAGTGCAACTCTTAGATACATTAACGATCAGAACCATGGATGCTTTGGTGACAGTACGATGGATAAGATTGCTGCTGTAGAAGCACCAAAGCAGTTTGAGTCTCAAGAGCCAGGATGGGCACGTTACGCTAGAGAGAAGAGTGAACGTGCTCGTTCTCGAACCCCAGCTGCTTCTGAACATCATAATAGTGGGTACTATACACCATCATCAACCCCCGCTCCTTTGAGTCACCCTGTCCACCATGAGAATGCCCGGGAGTTCGCTGATAAACAAAGGTAATGTAACATGTTTTGTACCTTGGTTAATCATTCCATGTAGAGTTTATACTCACAACCCTCACCCTGTTAACTATGGACCTAGCTACTACCAAGTAGCTGATCAGAATAGACGTGTTCGTACTCATAGCGAAGGAGCTAGGTAACTTTTTATCTCAAAGCAGTAATACCGTTTTGGTTTGAGATCGGAGAGAGGTTATGAGTGTGGAGGAATGGATTACACCAAAGGTATGCATTTCGAGGATGCTGGAGGAGATTATTATTCTGAGCATCGTCCTCGCCAGGAAAGGCCTCGTAGTCGTCCAGGCTACGAATGCGGAGGATCTGATTTTGGAAAGGTTTGTTTTGAAAGTAGAAAGTTCTTCTTACACGAAAACTGGGTAAAATATATTTTTTGACTCCGTAACCTCTAGGGCTATGTTGCTCCGGGTCCTTATCATGGTCATGGACCTGATCCACCTCGTCTTCGATCACACTATTCCGCAGATCCTCGCTCATTATGTAATGCATACATAGCTCCAAACGTTGATTACGTTGATGCCAACCTTCTCGTTGGTGACACGTTATCGAATCAGAAATGTCGTCAGGAAGTACGACACATCGATCAAAATGAATTTGGAACATCTTTCGGGCCTCCAGGTGGTTTCAAGCGTGATCATATGACTGTTCACAGAGCCCCTGCTGCACCAGAGCCTGTCACATTTTGTGTTAGTGCTCCATCCAACGTTGCTCCTCGTAGCTCTGCTCCAGCACAACAACAAAATGTTTGGATGGAAAAACAACAAGAAACAGATCGCGAGGTGAATGTTCAAACACTTCTATCGGATGAAGCTATTCGGCGAAAGCCAAATGCTGAAGAAATTCCACAATGGAGAGAAAAGAGTATGGAAAAGCAGATGAGCTGGGAGAATCGGCGTGATCCTCGTCTTCATAAATTAGAGGCAAGCTGGTCATAACAATGGTTTTCGTAGAGATTTTATGTTTGAAGCTTATGAAACTGTAGAAATGACAAGACAATTAGATTACCGTTGTTGTTTTCCAATTATCACGTCGTTTGAAGTTGTGAGCATTATTGATCAAAATAATCTAGAAAATAATAGAGTTGCTTCCCAATTAGTTTATGCTTTATCTGTTTTTTTCCCATCTCTTTTTTTTCTATTTTGGGTTCTTCTTACTAACACTGTTTACCTGCTAACAATGAACTGTTTTCTTCAATAACGAATTGTTTTCTAACACCTCTTCTCTTTCTATAACCTGCTCTTTCCCTTTAAGGTCTATACGACGGAGCCTAACTGGTCACGTAATGTTGAACAAAGACGCAATGCTTGGGAACGGAAAGCCAATGAAACTGATGTTCGTGTAGGATTACCCGCATCAGCTAAGGTATTTAATATGTTGGAATTGATTTCTTCAACCTTTCTGACTCACTGGATGTCTTTTAAGTTGTTTCGCTTCTAGTTTTTACTTTTAAACTTTGGAAAAGCCCAGCTGTTCAATGTTGATTGTGGTTCTAGACTCTCCGCTATCAGCATTTGAGTTTCAGACATTTCGCATGGACCCGAGAACTACTTCATTCGAGCAGTGTTACTATTTCCTATCCTTTAAAGAACCTCTGTTTTGTATCTCAGTTTAAATTATGAAATACTGAAATAATTAGCAAGATAATATGAACAGCCCCCTTACTCATTAACAATTTGCTTTTTCTTTGACCTTTCCAGAGGAAACAAAACTTTGTCGAACAACTGACAGTTCAATGTTCCTCCTCTCTTCCTCCTCCTCAAAAACAGTTTTTCATAATCAGTCGTGGGCAGCGTGGTGTCTGAGATGAAATGGTTTAGTCATGAACGTGATTTTCAGGTAGCGCCTGACGCTCCTCCCGCCTGGCACAATAAAGCCGTTCGAGCTCATAACGTTTGGCAGAACGCAGCTGATAATATGCATCAAGTACAGCACCAGAATTATCACAGCAGTTATAGCAACCAACAGGTGAACTGAATAATTATATCGTTTCCATTCTAATTTCAATCATTCAGACCCATGACGTTAGATCTCCTCAACCAAGCCAACAACAACAACACAATCAATACGAAAATCAATCGAGATCAGAGTACAAACAGGAGAGCCATACAACTCCTTTCCATGGTCATTATGACTCTAACGCTACGAACGCTCAACAACTCATCAATTCTGGATACAACCAAAATCAAGTTGACTACATTTTGAACAACCCTGACAAGTTTGGGCCAGGCCGAAAATACAACCCATCAAACACGTCTTCATATCAAGCCAAAGACAACTATCAGTCTAATTCATCAAACTACAATAAAATAGTTTCTAATGGCCACGTTAATTCAATGGGCAATGGAAATGTTGTTAATCGTCAACATAACCAAGATGGTGGATTTTCAAACAACTATTCAACAACTAACCATGAAGAAGGTCAGCTTCCACAAGGTGGAACATTCACCCGAACAGTCACCGAGAGCCGTTCCTCCTCTCACGTATGCCTGAATATCCAGTAAATCCTCCTTATACATTGTGTTTCAGAACACAAAACCAGCTAATTATTCAACTGAGACCCATATCACTCATGCTCCATTCGCAAATGCCCCTCCTGTATGTTGATCTATATGACATACATGACTTAAAGTATTGCAGCAAGCTGGACATTTCGCTCCTAGTAACTTAACTTCAAACAATAACTATCAGGTAAGTTCGTGGCTAAAAACTCATATTCTAATTTACGACTACTCTCGCTAATTAGCATAAAGTTGGAGAGTTCAAGATATTGAATCATTTTGCATTGCATAGGTGTGAAGAACGGTTGTTTCTCAAAAAAAAAGGGAAATCAAACTGAATGCATTAATAGAGTTTTTGTTGTTTTATTAGAAACGTTTAGGAAAGTTTCAAGAGAGCTTTTGAGTCATCGGAATGTCGCACTATTCCGATTGTACCAATTCTCACCAATTCTCAGGTTGAAAATAACTGATAGAGCATTATCTATTTGACAGTTGATATATTCAGGAAAATAATTTCCATAGTAATTCTTTTTCTGAGACATGTACAAGTAGTCAGCAATGCTTGCCTGTTGATATACAGCCAATGCATCATGTTGACTATCAGGTAACTGAATGCTCAGTTCTCAAGCTAAACCATTCAGTTATCCACAGATTCTAAGTTTTGTAACTGCACTTAAGTTCATGATATGTTCAAAAGTTACTTTGAGTTATTCATCCAAACTTCCTTATTTCATCTTATCATTATTTGAGTATTTATAATGATTTAGGGTAGTTATCATGAGTCCAGTAGCTCTAAGACTGAGTCAAAGTCAGTCGCTCCTCCGATTACACGGGTAGTTCCTATGCAATCAAATCAAAAGGAGAGCTACTTCAAATCTTCAAAGTCTTCTTCGTCTACTACTGAAACACGTACAGTACCTGTAGCTCCCGTTGTTTCTTCCCAAAAGGTTAACTATCAGTTGAAACGTTGCTTCTTAGTAATAGTTGACTGTTGTTCATTTGAATTAGAACTACCCTTAGTTTGATATAAAAAGAAGGGTACAGGCTTTGCGTGATAAGAGTTTTGATTTCTCACTATAGTTGGTTCACAGTAGGATAGTCAATTTTCAGGAGCATAGATCTAGTGAATCAAATGAAAGATCTGAATTCAAAACAAATTTGGCTCCATTAGCCCCAATAGATACAGGAAATAGATTTGAAGAGGTCCGCGTGCATTACATCTTCACATAACACTGATGCATGCCAGTCATTTTAGTTCATAGTTTGCTTCTTAAGTTTGCTCATTAGATATAGAATTGCTTTCCTTGGTTCATATGCACAAGATCTTCTCTTTCAAAACTTTATTTTATCTTTTTTGCAGTCTAGCTCTTACAATAAAAGTACATCATCCCAGAACATCTCTCAGCCTATTGCTCTTCCCGCTCCGGTAATAATGAACTGATTATGCATACAAAGAATTGATATCTATAGGCTCTTTCACCAGCAGCTTCTTACAAGAGCTATTCATCTTCTCACTATTCCAAACAAGAAAAAACTACCAACACTACTGGAGGCTCTGGTTATTCCACCGCTCCTCAGGTTACAACCACTTTGCCTGTAACCAAAACCACATCTTACTCTTACTCAACGGTACAATGGCAACTAGATTATAATACCAACAAATTTTAGACTTCCCAGCCATCACAGCCAGCACCAATTTCAATAAACCAAAATAGCTACACTAATACTACCGAGAAAGCACACAATGCACTCCCTGCCTCAAACTACTACTCTGAGAATTACTCGAAGAGTCATAGAGAAGAGGTGAGTTCACAATCACAGGCTATCAACTTTTGAAAATCAGAATCACCGTGAGGAATCCAGTCGTCCAGTAAGCCAACTTTCACAATACAGTGAATCTCGCAATTACAAGAGAAATTATGAGGAGAAAACAGAAACAACGTGAGTCTACAGAATGAACTACATTAATATCTTAACTGTTATAGAACAATTCCTGCTACCTTGGCTCCGATCACAACTAACTACACCAGCAGTAGCTCTAACAACTTGTCTTCAGCCACAAATATCAACGACGTTTTTGACAAGAAGGTTAAGAGAAACACGTTGTAGTTTGCAATCCAATAAAATTTCAGAAGGAAATGAACGAGCATCTTCCCAAGGGGACAATTAGCAACACACATAACAATACACAGGTAGATCGGCTTTTCATAGCTCAATGTACAATCATGAGTTAAGGGAGGTTATCGCGATAGAGAGGGACATGATGTTTCTTACAAACGAGAATTGTCCACAGCAGCTGATCCAGGAAGAGAATATGCTCTTTTAAAAGAGGAAGAAAAGCGAGTAGTTGAGACTCCCATGGAGCCAGGAGTTATCTCACGGTGAGCTGAATTTCAAAAACTTAAAATGAAATGCTAATGCGGCATGAGAAATCAAACTAATTTGAAATCCCATTCCGAATCGTCATTTGTAATAGAACGGTTGCATTCCTTCACAGAAGATTGTTTCATATTTCTAGACATGTCACCACCAAATACTACAAGAAGAAGACTGTTACTGATACCACAACTACACCTATCACCGAAGCCAATTAAATATTGATTGAAACATATTAGTAAAACATATAATCATTTAGTTGCCTTATTTACGCTTATCACCTAGTGTTACTGTTAGATTTCCTTATAATTAAACAAATTTTTTTAACGAACACGTATCTTAAATTCAGAGTATTTAGAGTATTTAGTTGTTTGAGAGCTTAAAATTGTTTGATACGTGCACAATAATTAATGCAATAAATGCTTAATTAGTTGATTATAGTAGTTCCCCAACATATCCTTCCGGACTATATCAGTAGAACTGGCAAAGTGTCTATCGGGAGGATCCACAGATCAGCCATACTTTATTCATCTTTATTAAATGAGTCACCGAACATCTGTATAATTATCGCAAAATAGAACAAAACTGTGCAGTAGAATCAAGGAAGAGTGTTCCGTGTTTATTGTATATGTAAGAACAATAGATAGAAGCATAATATTTTGAGAACGCTCCTCAATTCTCTGATGAGCTTGAAACAGATTGAAATGCCCAATACAAGAATGCATACTTATACCGCTGATTCTAATCATTGTAGTCCGTTATGAAGGTACCAAGAGAAAGTAACTCTCCAAAAGTAACTCAGAGTTTTACATATTCACCACAATAATATACATTTGAATGGTTTTCCCTCCATTGATAAGGTTTTTTACGTAGCCTTCTGACTGTTGGTACTATCGCATGTGAAGATGTTTTTAAAAAGACAGAACAATAGCCATAAATGTCAAACAAACTGTGAGAAAATGTTGATTACATAACTAATAGGACGCATTCTCTTGAAAACTTAAAAGAGAAAGAGCAGGCGCGCACGAGGCTTTGAATTGAGTAAGAGGGAACATTCATATTCAAACTATTGGATACTACTGAGTATATCAGTTGAATTAACTATTTTATATAAGGAAACATAATTATATATAAATATTCTGTTAAGGGATTTTTTCTTGAGAAAGTACCCTCAGTGAGGAAAATATGGATAGAAATGGAACTGTCGTATTACGTACAAGGCGTTTTCTCTTTCGTTTAAAGCTTTGTCTTCCACTTTCTTCAAATTTTCTTGCGAATCGTACTAGGTTTCATTTCATTTTTGTAGATGACAGAACAGAATGATCAGGAATTGATAAAAATGGAAGAAAATGAGGAAAAACCTAAGGTTTGATGTGTTTCTAGCTCTTTTCTGTCATCATGTGTATAGGAAACACCTGAAGTAGTCATAGATTCAAACGAACATCCCGCTCCACTCAATCCTGATTTACAAAAAACTTTGTATTTATCTAATATCCTACATCCTGGGGGATGGAGGATGCATCCTGACGTGAGTTTTCGATTTCAACATAGTACATTGTCTTATTAAGATTATTAACTTTCTGTCGAACTCGGTATCGTTCCAAATTGGGTTCAACAGCCAACCCGGAAAGGTGAGTAGTTGCATCAATCTTAATTGAGTAGTCTTAAGCTCATTTATTTTCTTCTTTCATTGTTTGTGGTTTCCAGGAGAAAAAAACGGGATATATAAAATTAACATTCGCCCGGCCATATGATGCCAGGGAAGCTTATTTGCAAGCACTGAAGGTTAGAATTGGAGGAGATAAAATCAAAGTGACTGTAGAGAATGGATTCTGTAAGTTAATGGTTGGTGTCTCTTGAATATTTCCGTTAAGGTGATCCTGCTGATCCTTCGCCCTGTCCTTGGTTTGAAATTCCAGAGGATGAGGACTTGAAATCTCGCACTCTTTATGCACTGGATTTATTGAAATCAACAAAGGCTCATGATTTAAAGGAAATTTTCGAACCAGAAAGTATAGAGAGTATTTCCTTCTTCCAACTCAACAAAATGCAGAAGCAAGCTGAGGTGAGCTTTTCAAACTTTTTCAGAGAAATATATTTTTATCAGGTTCGCCTAGTCTCTGCCGAAGCCGCTTCTACCGCATTACAAACATTAGCTGATTGGGAATTAGATGATGGTAACAGTTTCAGTATGATGAGGTAAACTGAATATGCTATGAAAAAGTGAATCGTTAAGCTTTAAGGCTACTGAATCCCCCTGATTATAAGAAATACTCAGAAGAATGTAGAATTCCTCAACCATTCTTACCGCCTCCTGATGAGCCCGAAGAGATCATGGAAGACGGAGAAATAAAATCCAATGTGAGTCTCTGTTTCACTATTCTTCTCAACACAGAATGTTCAGAAAAGAAAACATGAGGAGGAAGCTCAAGTACCGGTAGAGGAAGCTCCTCAACTTGCTCCTGAAGTTTATGAAGATGATCTCATTATTCAATTTGATAAGGTGAGATGAGCATCTTTGACTACATTCTTATCGGTTATTCAGTATATTAACGAGAATCGTATTAATTGGGCTGAAATAGATGAAGTGGATGAACTATTCACAATTTGTGACCATGTTTCGCGTTGCTTCAATGGATTGCCTGATAGTGTTCTGAAACCGGCAATGCTCTCCACCCTGAATAGGCAGTTAGCTATCGTGGCGGGTTCTGGTTACTTGACGCAACATGTTAATGATCTGATAGAGTTTGTCTTTTTCATTTTTTCTATCACATTTACAATTTCAGAAAATGGAAGAGAGAGATGACCAGAAGTGAACCTAAAGCTAGGGATGGTCAAGTTGTTATGGAAGCCCCAACATACGAACCTCAACCACTCCCTAAAAGAAGAAGAGAGTTAGTCCATTTTCTTCAAATGTCTTTAATTTTTTTGAGTTGAAGTAGGAACACAAGAGCTGGAACTATCAAGATGAGTGTTGGAGCTCTGCTGAAATCGGTCAGAGACAGGTATAATCCATGGAAATTTCTTCATACTATATCTTCGTTTTAGTATCAAAACTGAAGAAGGTGAACTAGATTTTGCTGAAGATGAGTTTGGAAACTATACAATTTCTGGAGAAGAATTGAGTTTCGAGTCTTATGCTAGGTGAGAAACATCTCGCGCTAACTTCCAATTACCTCATGTTTAGATTGACAAAGACCACTGAACCTGAAGTCAAATCCATGTTCCCATCTCCTCTTACCAATGCTATGAAAATGGCTCAAATTCCGAAGAAAATAAGGTGAGATTGAAGAACTTGGTGACTTATTTTATTTTGTTTTAGGAAAGAGTGGTACGAAAAACGGATGGCAAAGAAGAAGTTACATCTTATGCAGAAGGTTCAGTAGTGACTATCACAGGATTGTTAATCATTAATTCAGGAACAAGAAAATATGCGAAAGCTGGAAGAAAATGCTTCACAGGATAACTTACCGCCAAAGCCACCCAAAGAGTTAGATGAAGGAGAGATTGATAGTGAGGAAGAAAAACGAGCATTAAAATCACAAGGAAAGAAAAAGAAGAAGAGGTCGTCTGACAGCAGGTATGATTGCATAAGCAGACAATTAAATTCATCCGATTTAGCTCATCATCATCTTCATCATCATCTGACAGCGATGGAAATGATAGTGCCGTAGACGCTCGGGGCCGAAGAAGAGAACGAAGGAAAAAGGAACGCAGAACGGTTTGTATTTATTCACATTTCTTCAACTCTTTGTTGTGCAGGGAGCAAATGCCATGGACCATAGGCGAGCAATGCAACTTTATCATAACCGAATGGCCGTATGTTCGTTATTATCGTCGGAGCAGAAAATGCTGTTAGTAAATGTTCTTAAAGAAGAAAGTATTGCCTCAAGATGATTTTGCCTGCATGAGTGATGATGAATTACCTTTTATAGACATATTAGCTTAGTTCTAAGCGATCGTTTTATAATCTCCTAATTTGTCAACCGATTGATTCTTAACAAACAAACCTCATCCGAACTAAGATTTTTGGATAAATTTCAAAACACTCCCTGTTAAATACTGATTTACCTGGTAACATCATCCAAAGGGTCTTTCCACATTGATAAGTTTATATTATTATTCTGTTATTTCTAAACATCAGAAGAATAATTCTTCTCGTTTTTGTATATCATTGAATTAAATTTGTTGTTGTTGTTTCTTCACGAGACGAGATACAAAGCAAATTAGCCTAAGCGGTTTGCCTCAAAGCTTTTTTCTTATACACCTGTCCTCAGCAATTATAGAGAACAGCATCCATCCAAGCACAAAATTACCACCTTATATTGGTGGTTTTGTAAGCAGATGTATTCTTTTTCATTCAAACGTCTTTCTTTCTACAAGCGATTGGTAAAAATATTAAAAGAATTGAATATGTTGAAGGTCGAAAAGATAGAAACTGTCGGACTTCATTCATGATCCTTCACTTCTTGGCTTCATCATCTGCGAGTGCAGATGCGCTTAAAGACCCAGAGGAGCGAGATAATCTCGTAAGGATGTGACATTCAGCAGGATTAAATGTTATTAGAAGTTTTTGCATTTTTGTAACGCATAGTTTACGATTCAGCAGGCATACAACATGTATTAAATAACCTAAAATAGTATCTGGTGAAAAGTAAAGCTACTTCTAGTCTAATGTGATGTGCTCTGTATTAGGTTACAACTCTTTCGTGTATACAGATGTGAACATCTGTTTTGCAATATACAATACAGATAGTAAATGAGCAGATGATATAGATTGATGTGTCGACAATATTGTATATTTGTTCAAACTTAAGCCTTCATAAATTTATGAAATTTCTAGATTTTCAGAGAAGTTATACGTAGGCGAAGAGGTACACTATGTGAGATACGTGAAAACGTATAACGTGGAAACGTAATAGAGGGTGAAAGTAATTCATTTCTATTCTCGAGTTGATGTTGACCGGTTGTGATTCCAATTTCTAATATTTACAACTTTTCCTGGCGTTTGTTTTCATATTTTACATCTTTTTCTAAAGTAATATCACCTTTTTGATGGATGGAACCGGTAATAATTTGACGTTTTTTGACCAGCTGTTTTCTCATTAATGGCATTTTATATACTTTCGATTGTAATTTTTGTAATAGTTTAAGGCAAAAAGATGCAATCGGGATTTAGAATATAGTAGATAGTGATGATCCTGTTAACATACCGAAGATACTATAGGAACTTTGAATCCAAAGCTATGAGTTATCTATTTGCTCATATCTGGCTAAGAATGTCTATTGTGTTCTGACGACACATAAGTCTAAGAGAGAATAGAAGTTATATAAAGTATGGTAAGAGGGATAAAGAATGAGAGAGATAGAAAAAGACGGCGAATAATCAAACGTGACCTCAAAGAAAGTTGACGGGTGCTCTCAATTCAACCATAATTACTGGCTCTGCGCATAAATCCTTTTAACCTTACCTTCTGCTCGTCTACGCATTTTACGCTTTCTCCTCGGGTCAGATCCCAAGTTGTGACGCAATATGCAGTTATTATTAAAAGAAAGGAATATGGATAGAAAGTAATTTCGTAGCTTATGAGAGGATTAAGTATATGATATTCCTTCTGCATTGGCAGTAATAAAAGAATATTGTTGTGTTACATCTTTATTAATCATCGGTTCAGATGTAATTATACACTATTATTCAATAATATTATTAAAAATAGTATTAAAACGTCATGAATAAATAATTAATGAACAGATTATTATACAAGAGGTTCTGTAACTTGGGAGTTGAAGCCATATTTTCTGATTGTGCAGGAGCTAAAGATGAGTCCGATGGCAGAAGTAACTGGATGCACGATTGCTTGAATGGCCCAAGCCCATGACTGAAACGGATGTTAGTTAATAACTTGTTCTTTAGTTTCTGCTCAAAATAAAATAGTGATAAAAAGCTCACCATAGCGATCCAGTTTCCTGGAACAGTAAGAAGCTTTCCGAATGGAACACAGAGGAAAGTGTTGAGAACGGTGACGATAGCGAAAAGAACGCCAAAGATGATAGCGGCGGGAATTCCGACAATCAAACTCAATACTCTGTAGATGAAAAGACGAGTTCCAACGAAAGTTTTGGCAACTAAACGCCAGAGACAATCAAAGGAATGAGCAGCTTCGGCTTCAGCGAAGATATCTTCATAGCCAAAGTTAACATGATTGCTATTTCCCTTTTCGTCTCTGTCGACCAAATTGATTCCGATACTGATTTCATCATTTTTCTGATCAGCCTCAGACTTCTGGTTTCTGTTCCACCAGCATTTCTTCTTGCATGATTCTTCCTTGCCTTCTTCTTTGGTTTCCTCAGCTGGAGCCTCAACATCAGATGCTGGTTTCTTGGCCTATAATATTAAAAATTTGGTCCAATTGGTTGAGAAAGTCGTAAGAGTTGGTAATTTAGGTTTCGAATAGCTTATGGTCATGAGAGAGAGAGGAGAGAGAGAGTTGAGTTGCTCGCTAGCTTTTCTTCATTCTTTTTTTACATATAAGAGACTTAAAGTAATGAAACTCCAATGCAGAGCGAGTTGGGAAAATAAACGAGAGCTAAAACCTGTCAAATGGATAGAAGACCAAAAAGGAGCAAAGACTGAAACAAGGCAGTTCATTGAGTTAATTGAACTTCCTAGACTATTTATGCGGTTTTATGGATGAGATATAAAATTTTCATAAGATATGTTTTCTATTTGTTTTAACGTAAAATTCAAACCTTGCGAGAGAAGAACCATCCTTTCTTGGGCTCGCTGACGGTTTCAGCTTTAGCAGGAGCTTCTTCAGTAGATGCTGGAGCATCAGTGTCAGATTTAAGTGGAACTTGTTCCATCTCTACCTTATCTTGATCAGACATGATTAACTAGGTCTGAAAAAATGAATTGAAGGAATGGCTTATAAAGTAACATTGAGAGTGAATAAGAGAAAAACCCGAGAACAAGCAAGTTACCAAGACAACGGGAAGGTAAAAACTCATCAACAGGAAGCAGATGTGCTCATAGAGCGTTAAAAAATAAAAACTCCAAAATGGATAACTATGCACAAATATAAGATCGCTTTATTGATAAATCAAAAAGAAATAGAAGTACTAGAGTTTTATTCGGCGCTACGAGGGTCAGAAAACGCTGAGTGGAACATAATATGTTTTCTTTTGACAGAAAGAAAGGAATTCAGATGAGGACACACGTAAGTGTGGAGATGAAGAGGAGAAGAATGAGAGATAAATAGAGAGGCACAGAAAGGACCATAACTCAACTGAATAACAGATGGTAAGCTTGGGCTTGGGTCAACGTGACACGCCCCCTTACACGTCCGTAGGGGACTGTAATTGGTTGGCATCTAGCCAAATCCATCCCCTTTTGCCTCCCAATAGATTTTATAGAGGAAGAAAGGAAGGGACAAAGAGAGGAAGACAAGCTAAATGTGCTTTTACAAGCAAGATGAGAAGAACAACAAATGAGAGAGAGAGAGATAATAGGAAGAACAGCTTCTGATGCTTTACTTGTTGGAATGATGGTAGGATAAGGATAAATGGTTTCGTTGAGCTTAACCACGCCCAATATTTTGACCGGGAAAATATATATGTTCCTGCTCTCTTACAATAGCTTTGTCTATAGGTGTTAAGCTAAAAATGGGTTTGGCGGGAAGCATTTTGGATGACCATGAGTGCTGACCTAGGTAGCACCTCAGTAAGAAATTTGCTAACGGCAGAAAGCGATTGTAATCTTTGGTTGACTAAAGAAACTAAGAATGAGAGAATTCTAGAAATGAGTGAATACATTGAAGAAATCTTTTAAAGTGAGAAAAAGAGAGAGAAATCACTTGACATATTTCTCATTACTGTATGAATAGAACTCTTTCAGAAATATTTAGAAAAGTATCAAATAGCCGATCGAAAGAAGAATATTAAATAAAAGAAGCTTTCAAGAAGCTTTGAGAACTGTATATGTATGTGTTATGTGTGACTAAGGGGGTGGTTGGATGTAGAAAGAAATTTGCATACTTTAACCTTAGTAAGAAGGTTGTTGCATAACATCTGATGCAAGAGAAGATGACGTCAACGCAACTTTTGTATGAAATGTCATGAGTTGACTTATTTGGCACAAAAAATTACTTTTCTGTCTATTATAGAAAACTAATTTCAAAAAAGATTAATTATATCATATAGCTAATGGGAAGTTCCAATTATTTTTTTACTCTGCAAAACCGATCTTTAGAAGTCCATTAGGATGGCTAATGGAAATAGGTAATGAAACAATCAATTCAGAATTCTATCCACTATATAGCTGCTTAGAAAATTAATGAATTACTTGAAATTCTCGAGATAATCTCTCTAAGGATTTCTTTTGCGATTACAATCTCAATATTAGGAGCTCATGCTGAGTATGATGTAGAAAATGTCACTCATTGACATAAATAACACATAGTAATCTATCCATAGACATATAGTCAATGTCTTATATTATGTCTTTCTACCTGACCTTTCCGCACAGTTACGAAGATTAAGAGAAAAATATAATTTTATAGCCGGCATAAGACTTGCTTCCTTACTTGATATATATACAACCACATTCGTCCTCATCATCATACTACAACGTTCAAAAGATCAAATTCTCTCACCAATGGCCAGATCTTTTTCTTTTACTTGTATAAATAGAGAGAAAAAGTTGTCTCATGCTGTTTAAAGACAAATAATAAAACAAAACAAATCAATCAAACCATCTATAAGGTCAATTCTTTTCATTATTTTTCTATGAGGAGGGCTTTAGCAGTAGCTCACGTATGTTACGTGATCTACAGATGTAATTTCATTTCTCTTATTTTATATGTACAAAACGGCAATGAACAAGTCAATATAGTATTAATATTTATTAATTTTCACAATATAGATTATCTGATCAGGAAGATCATGTCGTCATCAGTTTATTACAATCACCCGAAGAAAGGATTTTTTCTTCCCATTTTCTTCTCTTTCTTAATCCGTCTCTTAACAGAGCTATCATCGGCCGGAATCATAGATACGGAAGGAAGATGACTGTCTGAAGTTAGTATCCGTGTAACAAACAGTAATATCTAGAAACATACTTGAGAGAGGGCAGGTCGCTCTCTTATAGTAGATATTGATGAATGAGGTGTATGTGGGGGAGTTGTGGGCATCAATCTGAACACGGAAAGTAATATCGAGGTAGGAGGGTAGTTTTCTTACTTCTTCGTAGAATTCGCAAGTGAAAACTTGTCTACCTCCAACCATTCCAAATACAGCTGCGTGACATCTCTGAAAAAAGAAATTTGATGGGATCAAGAAGTGAAACTCAATTGATACATTTCCCTTTCGCCTATCTCATCTAATTAGGATTTATCACAATTTCTCACTTTTTTGATGAAACGCGAAAAAAAAGTATCTTACGGGGTCACGTTGACAAGTGGCTAAGCAGCGATCTTCAGTGGAATCATAACCATCAGCAGCCATAGCATAAGGTCTAATATGTGAAGCGACATCCCTATCAGTATATTCAATGAAGCATTTGCACAAGTAGCATGGGTTCCCCCAATGGCCTAGAATGATAGATTTATGAAGAGAAATGGGCAACAGTAGCTTACTTGGTCTATCCCATGCAGACGCGAGTACCGAAAGAGATATAAGTGTGAAGAGTACGAGCTGGTTCATTATTAAGCCCGGAAGACTTTGAATTGCAAGTGTGACTAGCGCTCGAGGGAGCTTAACTTAAAAATGATCAAACGAAATGGGAGTGTCTTCGATAAAGTCAAACTGATCACGAAAACTGGCTATTCAGCTGGTCTTTTTATGAGAATAAAGAGGTCATTGACAAGATAAGGCACAAGCCACCTTTCGTCGAGAACAAACTTAAACGTGTTGAGATAGAATACATAATAATGACCAAATACCTGATAATTATCGGCATTTTAGCTATATGAGATGAAGCATTCCCGTTGATATTCCATCATTAATCACATTATATTATTTGAAATTCAATCTTGTTTTCATTTTCCTTTCAAGGCATCATCCAGATCTCGACAAACGATTACCTGATCTTCAGCAGGCTATCATTTAATGATTTCCGAACATTCCGAAGAACTGTCGGTCATAATAGCTTCTTGTTAAGTTCAGTTATATATCCGGTTTAGTATAATGAGAAGGAATTGGGTAAACAAGTATAATTTTATAAAACATCCATCATGTTCAACTGAAATCAATTAGGGAGTATACCAGGTTGTCTCATCATCGATGGTTGAGGTAGAAAGAGCAGAAGATGTCTCGAATCAAGAATTAATCCCCGAAAAGTTCTAGATATTCAAACTAATTTCTTTATTGGAAAATTTGGGGAAGTCTTTTACTTTCTTCACAAACCCATTCAAAGCATGAAAAAGCTTTGAATCAAAATATTTGCCTAAAACAGAATTGGGATACTTAAGACAACAATTGCATTGGCACATTCATTGTTTTAATAAGAATCCTCTAAATCTCATTATTAATACTTGAAACATCTTCAATAAAAAGAAACAAAAGACAAAGTTTTTCTGAAACATTCAGTAGTTTTTAAACTGAATAGCCTTTTAGGATGAATAGATGAAAAAAAATTTTGTAAGTTGGCACATCTCACGTTGCACAAGAAAACCACGTGGACATTCGACTCATTTTCATTTTCAATTCCGTCAGGTGTGCCGAACGGTTGTGCTCTCAATGTTCTTCCAAATTGCTTTTTTCATTTATTTTTTTACAATCTTTTTTCATTTTATAATTTTGGGTCGTGTCTTTTGCAGAAAATAAGAAGAAATCTGTTTTGGAGTTGAAATGTTTACTAAATTAATGAATGGAGCTCTTTTACAAATTGTTGTTCTGCTCATTCACTCGCTGGAAGATCCACAAACTATTTGCTCATCGTCGATTAATCAAGAAAACGACCAATTGCTATCTGGCCTGAAGCCGTACATTCATACACCATTTCGACTCAGAGAAGCAACAGCAGGGTGAATTTGAAGATGGACCAGATGGTCTATCATGTTGTGATTTAAGTTTCTTTTGAATATTCCTCTTACTTCAGTTTACATAACATTTATAGTGACATTTCTAATTTTGGAGTCAATCCAAACTGAACAGCAATCCATAGTTCACGAGTAATGTTTTTGTAAACCGTTTCCTTTTTTTTTCTTTTTTTTCCCGCTCTTTTTCTGTTTTCTTCATAATTGAATTCAGACTGTTAATCGAAGTGTTATATATGTTTAGTTTTTATAACAAGCAAAGTGTCAGGTTATCAATTGAGTCAAAGATTTTGAAAAGAGATTGCTGTTCCTCCCTTTGGTTTAAGCCGAATAGAAGTTACATAGGCATAATGAGAGAAAGACGATAGTAATAAGGGAAGTAAGGAAGAGGAAAGAGAAGAAATAAAGGCTAAATAGAAAGAAAAGGGAGGAGAGAGTGAGGGAGGAGAAATGATAAAGTGAAGTATGAGACTTTTGCTCAGTAGCTGAGAGAGGAAGGGAGGGTGGGCTGAGTGAGTCGGAAGAAACATCAGTTCAAACTATCACCTCAAAGATGAGGCTCGTTTATTCCTTGTGTTTTTAAACTCTTTTATTTATCAAGTTTTATCATAAATGAATCACAATAAGTGCCTTCTCAATCTGTTTTTATTTCTTTCCTGCTCAACTTGTCGGCCCAGCCTTTCATTTTTCATTCAAATGAAGTTTTCGTTCAAACAATCGCTCTCCTCCATTATATTCAATAATATATTGGAGAATCTATTCATATTTACTCTTAGGGAGAAGTTTTTGATGAAAATATCTAACAGAATCCAAAAAAACTCTTCAGCTATTCTCTCTGCTTTCAATTTTCTTGTTGGCATGTTATTTGAATCTGAGAAATCCATTTATTTCTTCAATATATTTTCTTCTACACTCAAATATATTTCTCTACAATCTTCAAATGTTTTAGTAATTTTTTCCTGAAATGGATAGTACAAGAGTGTACGAAAGAGAAAAGTGGTCATCATGGGCAGATTTCATCATGTCCTGTATTGGCTATGCCATTGGTCTTGGTAATGTATGGAGGTTCCCATATCTCTGCTATCAGAATGGAGGAGGTTCGTGTACTAAAAAATCTTTTTTTTCCTCAAAAAAACATAAAAACTCATTGTCTTTCTAGTATTTCTCATATCTCTTATTACCAAACAACAAGCTTGTTGAAAAAGAGAGATAGAAAGAGATTGAAGAAAAACGATAAATGCTATAAATTTTTGTGATCTTAAAGGAGCTTTTCTCATTCCGTACGTCATCTCGCTTGTTTTCTGTGGAGCTCCATTATTCATTTTGGAAACATCATGGGGACAACTTTTGTCTGTTGGAGGATTAGGAATGTTCAAAATCTGTCCAATATTCAAAGGTTTGATAGTGAAGCACGAATGAGAAAATACGTTATGAAATGAAGGAGTTGGAATTGCTGCTGCTGTAATGGCATTCTGGTTGAATATCTATTATATCGTAGTATTGGCTTGGGCTCTATGCTATTTGGTTAACAGTATAAGGGTCGATGATAATGTGCCTTGGAGAAACTGTGATAATCCGTTAGAATTCATAATGCTATTGAAAAATAACTTTCTCTTTGTAGTTGGAACACCGCTCACTGCCGTTCAGAGTATGAGCAGATACCTTGTGATAGTAATAGAAGCATCGCTCAATATTTTAATGTTAAGGTACTAATAACAATTTTACATTTTTTTAATTTTTCAAAAGGTTTTGACCGCCGAACATCTACACGAATATAAAAAGAGTCGCTTCATTGGGCCAAAAGAAAACTGGACATTCTGCAGTGAGAGCGACTTAGCTGTCCAATCACCTGTTAAGGAGTTCTGGAAGTCTCTATTTTACTTTTGTTCATACTCTATTTATCTCTAATTAAGTTATCAAGTACTCGGGATATCAGAAGGAATAGAACAACCAGGCTCGATTCGCTGGGATTTAGCTCTTTATCTTTTCTTTGCTTGGGTCATCTGCTATTTGTGCATTTTCAAAGGTGTCAAGTGGACTGGAAAAGTAGTTTTGAATTTCTTTTGCTGTTCATAACCCTTCCTGTTAAGGTTGTATACTTGACAGCTTCCTTCCCATACATTATGCTGTTCTGTCTCCTGATTCGCGGTTTGACCTTACCTGGAGCCAGTGTTGGATTGGAGTTCTACTTGAAGCCTGATTTCAGTCGTTTATTCGAATCAAAAGTTAGATTTGTAACTAAGTACTTTTCTATTTTCATTTTTGAAGGTTTGGGTTGATGCTGTAACACAAGTTTTCTTTTCATATGGTTTGGGTCTAGGAGCTCTCGTTGCACTTGGAAGTTACAACACCTATCACAACAATGTTTACAAGTAATTGTGTTCATCTATCCTGCTCTCGATCTGATGGTTTCTTTAAGACAAGCGTTGACTGTTTGCTTTGTTAATAGTGGAACTAGTGTTTTCGCTGGATTTGTTATTTTCTCCTTCATTGGCTTTATGGCAACTCAACAAGGAAAAAGTGTGGCTGAGGTATCAAACTACAAGTACCCTGAACTTATGGCTCTTGTATTTGAAGGTGGCACAAGCAGGACCTGGCTTACTCTTCTTAGCTTATCCATCAGGAATTCTTCAGTTACCCTATACTAATGTCTGGTCTATATTATTCTTCTCCATGGTTCTGTTCCTTGGAATTGATTCACAGGTAGATTAAGCCAGTTCAGAAACCCAATATACAATACTTGTAGTTTTGTACTATGGAGGGATTTTTCACAGCTATTATTGATGAATTCCCTTCAATGACTCGGGGAAAAAAATACGGAAGGGAAATATTCATTGGCGTTGTCTGTATAGTCTCGTACTTTGTTGGATTGACCACTGTTACGGAAGGAGGATTTTACGTGTTTCAACTGTTTGACTTCTATGCTGCGTCTGGTTGGGCTTTGCTATGGCTGCTATTCTTTGAATGTATCGCCATTTCCTGGAGTGTCGGTATGGATGCGTCATTTCCATAGCTGTTTTTACGCTATACTTTTTAGGAATCAATCGGTGGTATGATCATATGAAGAGTATGATTGGCTATTATCCAAGCGTTTGGTGGAAGTTCTGCTGGGTGTTTGCAACCCCGGCTGTATGTGGGGTGAGTGAATTGAAAAAAACGATATTTTATCTTAATTTATGGTTTCTCTATTTTAACAGTTCATTATTTTATCTGATGAAAAATCAATGATCTCTGAAAAAGTATCAAGAAGCAGTTGGCTTCTAAAGAATGGGTGAGATGATGCTTATGACAAGCATCCGATTCATATTGAGAGTAGGAGGTGTATGAATTAGTTGAATGGCACCTTTTGGCATCAAATTCATACTCAGCTCAGAGAGAAAAACAAAAAAGCATTTATAAGCGTTCCTCTTCCAGATTAGAAATAGAGTAGCTCACTCACAATACAATCTGATCTGATCTTTTCTCGAACGAGGAATTTCTGATAAAAATAATTATAAATTACTAGAAGAACAGTTGTCATTTATTGAGAATGGACTTTCCTAGCCATCATTTAACACCTCAGCTTCATCAACCATCTGTTGCATGTCAAGGACAATTTGTCGTATCACGTATTAAACTCTAAATTCTCATTCATCCATCACAACTCACGCTTTGTACTAAAAGATGAGCAAAAATACCTTCTTCACCACCCACGAAAATAGTTTTTCATTGGAGATACGAAGAGTAGGGTCTCAAGGCGATGTAAATATCATAATCACACACGTGTGAGGAACACTATGTCAGATTATTCAAAATCATTTTTAGTTAGATGCACATTAGAGCCGTTGCTCTCGCTGTAAACACTCATATGTGTTCAGTGTAAGAGATGTCTCTAGCGTTCTCTTTTAATTAAGATTGGATATGAATGGAACATCGTTTGATAAAACTATTTTCAGGGAGTCATGATTTTCGGCTTAATAAAATACCAGCCCTTGCGGATCACAGCTTACAACTACGATTATCCCCTTTGGGGACATGTCTTTGGATGGTTCTTATCACTGTCATCGATGTTGTGTATTCCTGGGTATTTTGTTTATGCCTGGTTCACTACAACCGGTACTTTCTCTGAGGTTCGAAGATTTGAATGATATATGTTACAAATCTTGTTTTCTTCTTTTCTTTCAGAAGGTCAAAAAGTTGTTCCGTCCTGATATTTCAATCAAGGATATTACTAATGAAGCTATTGATGGAGAAGAATTACAGGAGTTTCACCCATTATAAACTCATTTAGGAACCTAAACAATTTGTTTCGCTAAACGATAAGATTAAATGAAACATTCCTTATTTAGGTGTTCATCTCTCTCTCTCTCTCTCTCTCTCTCTCTCTCTCTCTCTCTCTGTTTCTCTCTCTCTCTCCCGCCCATTTCTATCTCTTTCGAATTGTCTTCTTTAAATCTGTTTCCTTTAGTTTCCTACAAAAATAACAAGAACGTGCGCTCTGATATTAATCCAATCAATTTATGTTGTCCACTTTTTATATTGAAATAGCCTGTATTCATAGTGAAGAAAAATTATTGCATCATATTATATATGATGATCGTAGAGAATGTATTATAACAATAGATTAATAAAGGAATATTGAATAGTGGCTATTAGTTTGTTCTTGATGGAAAGTTGCTGTTAAAGCTTTCTATAGTAACGCTGCGGAGAGTTACTCAATCAACTATCCTAAGTAGTTTAAGATAATTTAAAGAATGATGATTATTGACTTCTCAATCGTTCAGAGATTTTTAGAGGAGAACAAAAAGGGAAATCTTCGGGATATGAATGGAGAAAGAGAGATTTTCAAGAAATGAAAGGAAACTATTCTGGTGATATGAAGCGTCCAGGGATGAACCAGTCCAATCATTCAGCCAACCAACATCTATTCTTCATCATTATCCTTTCCACGTCGTTACCGTCTGTCTTCTCACCCTCGCAATCTTCATGTTCTTTTCTTCTCTTGTTAATTTCTCTGGACAGCCATATTATAGTCTCTTTCGTGTCTCTCATCGCACGAGTTCGCCTTCTTGGGGTATCTTCTGCGTGTAATCTTCTCCGCAGTTGGTCAAAAGCTTCTCGGCTTGGAAGTCATGTTAATTCATTCTCTGCTATGTTTATTTCTAACATTTCTATTAATTGATACAAGACAAATCTATCAGTCAACGTTATCGGAATGGTATCGCCAACCAGGTAAAACGAGAATATCAGACATCGAGAGAGGCTAATATTTTGATTTCTGTTAACATTCCATTAAAAATGTTTGTGTGAAGTAGTTCATCCCACTTTCCATTCCAGTGAAAGTTGTGACATATTCCCGCTAATCGTTAGTCTACTTAAGGTAATCCTGGAGTGAAAATACGTTTGACTAAGAAAGGCATTAATCATCTTAAAACTGTTGGAGTAAAGTTGCTGAACGAACAGGTAATAATATTGCAAAAACATTATATTCCTTTGGGCTACTCTAGATCGCCAACTTGAGAGGGTATAGTACGTCTTTCCCTTTCTCTCAACCAGGACTTGAAGGATTTGTCAGTCTCAATAACGTAAATGTTCTTCAATACAATCCTCCTCAGGTTTTCTCTTTTTCCTTCTTCGTAATAATAAAATTTATTTCAATATTTCAGGTTTCAGTCGTCAATTTTCTTCCACCTCGTTATATTGTTTTTGGATTGGAGAATATGGATATTTCGTATGCTATTCGTAAACATCTTAAATCATACTTAAGCTTCAGTTTGGCTGGAAACTTTTTTGGTACTGGAGGTCCAATACAGGTTGGTGGAACGGTTGACGGCAGTCTACTAGGAATGACAGTAGCCTTAACTGCCGAGTTTACTAAAAATGCTCATGGAATGATGTCTGTACAAGTAAGGTTGCTACTACTCAACTTGAAAATTCGGTTCTATAGGTACCTAATTGCTCAACAATTATTGGAAGAAGTCATTTCAATATTAACCCACAAGGCCCTATGGGTCCATTGGTGAAAACGCTTGAGGTTGGAGTAACATCAAACAAGCATCAAACATCAGAATTCATTTCAGGCGTTTATCAACGATGGGATTCGTCAACGCATACCAACAATGTTTTGTAAGAAACTGAAGCATCTGATAGAAGACAACAGTCCTAAGATGTTTGCTAAGCTTACAAGAACCAACTTTGGCGAACATTTTAAAGGCGATTTAATCGAGAACACTGTCATGAAAAAGTTAGTTAGAGGAACGGAATGAGAGACGACCGCTAAGTGAAGGAGTTCTTGTAAATGAAAATCTTCAGGTTCATTATGGATTTCGTAAAAGGGTTATACATAGACAATAGAAATATCGCTGACCCCATAGTTACATATGATTATTTTGAAACTCAGAACAAAGGTAGGATAAACTAGTTATATAGTCGATCCTGTAATAACTTCAGGAGAAGTCCGTTATATGGATTCGAACGAACCAACACCATTCTACCCCAAGTAAGTAAATGAAAGTTATTATTGTTCATGATTTCCTAATTGTGATAGGGAAATGCAGACAGATGAAGATTCCGATCGAATGTTGTACTTCTATGGCTCAGATTATATCTTTAACTCTCTTTTATATCACGCATATCAGACCAACAAACTTAACATTGAAGTTGATATATAGCTTTTAATTTTCCTATTGGATTGTTCTTCAGCTCAATCACCATAATTTACCAGCCCAGTATAAATCACTAGTCTCCACGTCGTGCTCTAGCCAAGGAGCCACTTCTTTCGCATCTTCGGTTTGTGTGGGAAAATTAATTCCAGCTTTAGCTAAGGTATATTTGTAACGATATGGGTCTGTTATGCTAGTTATTCAGGCTTATCCCAATACCACAACTTCATTCGTTCTTATCCCACATGGTTTACCAGAATTCTCTTTCAACGGGGATGCTGGCGCTATTCGTTTATCTTGTAAGTTATAACAGCTTGATCACCATGTCTTGATCCTTCGTTTCTTCAGCACGTATTATTACCTACGTAGACTACAAGGGACATCTAAAACAAGTTATTGTTTCATCTGCCGACGGTCAAGCTGATATTAATTTATCAGCTCAGGGCGGCAAACTTGGAGGAGATCTCAAACTGAACAGGTATCGTATTTATAAGTGTCTGCGCTTATCTCTTCTTAGATTGGCCGTAAGATTGCATAGAAGTGCTATTGAAATCGAACCTTCTGCTATCGAACAACTAACACCGTTGGCTAAAACATTCATTGGGCCTCAACTCAGTCAAGCATTACATAAAGGAGTTCCATTCCCATTACAGGTCTGAATTTCATGGAAGGTTTCTTTAATGGGTGTAGTTTAGGATTCTATAACATTCGTTGATCCAAAATTGAAGGTTCACAACGGTTTTATTGAATTAGGGACTGATTTCATTTTAAATGAGAACGCCCTACGCATGAAAATGCAAGAAACCTTCGCAGACATGGATATATAAGCTACTGGTAGTTAAACATAAATTATTAATATATTGAAGAATAAATTTATCAAATCTTTACACCTCAAACCTTTTCCCGTATGAGACAGTTGCCTGTCCTTAGTTGCGTGGCGCTTTCTTCATTGGAAAAAAATATGTGACAAGTTCATTTTACTGATACAGACAATTATAGACAAACTTAGTGTATATAGGTGAGTTGATTTGATCTGTGATTCATAGTTAAAGCCGCATTTACATGTTGAATGCCTCCCATGCTTCGTAAAGACCTTCGGGATCTTCCAATCCTTGTGTCTGGACTTCAGTACGAGCATCGGCAACAACTATGGTTCCATCCTCTTTGATCATTTTCATAGAAGGAATAGTCTTCACTTCATACTTAACCAATAACTCTCTTAAATCAAATAACTATCAAATTAGAACCGGCGCTTAACACTAACTGAATTTTCTCGTCACCAAATGGAATGAAAGCCCAGTCACCCATGTGCTCGTCATAATACTTGAATAAATCTTCAGCATTTCTATCACGAGAAACAAAGATAACTTCGAACTCTGGATGACTCTTCTTAATCTTCTCGTAAAACTCCTGCAACAAATAGAAAACTCTCCTTGTTTTTAAGTAGAAAAAGTTTTACCTTTAGTTTAGGAGTGAATGCCCTGCATGGTGGACACCAACTGGCAGAAAAGTACAATCCAACAAACTAAAAACGAACCTTGAAAACATAGAGAATAATTCATTATTACCTTGTTCTTCAGGTATTGACCAGCGTCAACTTTAGAGCCGTCCTTCAGTTGGAGTTGAGCACCAGCCAAAACCTCAGCCATATTAGAAACTAGAAACTGAAAATAAAAATATAAAACGAAACTCAATATAATAAAATAAAATTGGTCAAAGACTACAATGCATCTCGCGTGCGTTCATCAATCTAATGAACGCGAGCTGCTTTGGCCATGTTGAGTTTTTGAATTTGCGCGCCACGATTTGAAAAAACGAAATAGGTATGCTAATGTTAAAAAACCGAAAACGGAAGTCGAATATGGACTATGTTTGTTTGCTAAAAATGGCGGATGTAGAATGATATTGTTCGAAAGAATGTCTTTTATTGAACCATGTAAAGCTATACGAATCATGAAACATCACAAGTTCTATTTTTATAACACTGATAGAAAGAGTAAAGACTACTTATTGACTCTACGAGCTCTAATCATTATATTATCAGATTATTTCGTTTAATTCTTACATGATGAATAGAAGTGTCAATTGTCATCATTATGCCATTATCAACGTAGTTTTAAAAGATAAGGTTCCACCGAGATTTGAACTCGGGTCGCAGGATTCAGAGTCCTGAGTGCTAACCGCTACACCATGGAACCGCCAACATCGGTCAAATACACTCGAGAGACCTATTTATGAGAATAGCATTCTGACTTATTTGTTGTTTGACCTGTTTATACAACTATAATTTTTGTAACAACGCTATATAATTGTAAGTTGAAGTCACTCTCTTTCTATTTCCTGTGAATTTCTTGAGAATTTTAATTTATCACGTCATACACCAAAACAATCAACGAAGTCCGCGGCATTTCTTTCACATTCTTTTGATAGAAATAGGTTCGCATTCGTCTGGTTTTGAGAGAAGCATTTTAGATTTGTTTATGAATGTTATGCAATTCGAATGTTGAATGTTCGAGTTTGTTTAGAAACGAGAAAGTTATGAGCTTAATCATGCAGGTGACGAAGATAATTTTCAATGAAAATATGGAAAAAGCAGATTTGTGGAGTTTCATTCTTTTTTCAAAATGTTGAGACACTATGTGTTCCTCCCCATATTTCTGCTGTCTTTTAGATATGTATTCGCTGTGATCAACGGAATCCCTACAACAAGTGCAAGTATTATCTCTCCCCTTTCTTGGTCTGTACCCTTAGTGTCTTCAGAAGTTAAATCACAAGCTGTCTTACTTATTGGATCAGCTGGTTTGGAAAAAAACCGAAAAATAATCTGTGGAGGAGCTCTAATTACCACAAATGTTGTTCTGACGGCAGCTCATTGTGTTTACTCCAACTCTTCCTTGTAAGCATTTTTATTAATTTGATTTGACGCTTCTTCTTTTAGCGCCACTTCGATACAAGTTCGCCTCAATACCTTCAACATTCGACGTTACGAACCGGCTGAAATTAGGCTTTTGTCCAGAGCCATAGAAATATTTCCTAACTATAGAGAAGTATTCTCTTTTTAAAGTGAATTGAGAAACCGTTTTCTTAAGGATGAAGACGCTAGTGAAGATCTAGCTATAGTTTATCTTCCTCGACCTATTACGGAGGCTTGTAGTTTAAAGGATGGACCTGAAATAGCTCGTCTTCCTCCATCACCTTATACTGTTCCCCTTCATGTAGGAATCTGCCATAAACGAATTATTCAATTATATAGGCGAACCCTATGCTATCCTATCTAATGACACCGCTTTCTGATTTCGAAATGGAAACGGGATTTTGCTTTGTACACGGCTGGGGACTCAACGGAAGTAAAGTCCCTTGAGCTCGAAGCTGGTTATTTTAGTGTTTTTTTCTAGATAGTCAGACAGATGAACCATCGACAGCTTTATTAAGATTAAGTATTCGTACTCTCTATGGAAAAAAAGTTCTTGTTGGAGAACCTTTGTCACCTCTAACCAAACTATGCATGGCAAGTTCCAAGTGTTTTTTGCGTCACCTGCTTGTATTCGAGTGTACTTTCACGCTTCATGAAACTTTCACGTGAATAAGACGTGATGTGTAAAAAAGGACAGATTGAATTCGTGCAATTTAGGGTGATTCCGGAAGTCCTGTGTATTGTTTAGTAAGAGGCCAGAACTTTTTGGTATAATTTTACATGAGTAACAAAACTGCATTTCTTTAATTAAGGTTGGGATAGTCTCAGAATTGAGTACTTGGATGCCGGATACGAAAGCTGATGTTGATCAAACGACAGATGAAGTATGTTTTTCATATGATTGAATAGAAGCCGTTCCTTTCAGAGAGCTCGCTGTATGATGTACGATTTCGTAGTCATTGTCGACCTCCGTCATAAAGTTTCTGGAATTCAGACAATTTTTAATCAGAGAGGACTTACTCAACAACTCAAACATGGACAACAACAGTGCTCATATTTATAAGAAGTCAAATAAAGAAGTCTGAAAATAGAAAAATCTTCAAAAATTTAAATGAATTCTTTTTATTGTTAGGACTCTAAAGATCATGGGTAATTATTAACAAGAATCTTTATTGAAGTCGAAAGTTTCGCACGGGCGTAAGCATGAAGTCATAGTCAAGAATTTTAAATTTGGCAATTAATTTCTTTACGAGGGTGAGAATTCAGAAGGCATTAGCCAACTATCGGCGTGGGAAACTGCTTCAATCTTTTCTTCATCCGAGCTTACCATCGACTATTAATGACATTTGAGATATATATCTATATATATATATATATATATATATATAATTTCGGATATATAGAAAGTACTAAAATATACAAAAAAAGAAAAAAGAATACTTCCAGACTTTGTCCATTCTAGGAATAAACAAAACATAGTTATCAACAAAATTTATTCACATGGTATAACCGAGGAGATAACCAACTTATTTATCTTCTCCTCTCCATAAGAACACATTGAATCGGACTGAAGTAGCAGTTTTTAAACTGATTTAAAGCACGCGTATCAATATTATGGGGTGATCTCTTGATGGTTCTGTAACCGTTAAACCGAGCTTGATCCCTGAAATCAGTTGAATTATACATGAACATATGTTGCAGGGTACGGAGCTGGTTGCAACCGTGCTCCAACTCTACGCGCGGATTTGTTCTGTGGATCATTCAAAAAAGGAAATCATTTGGCCTTTGGGTAGCAAACATAAAGCTTTTCATTTAAATTTTGTTTTTACTCACTTTGTAGCTAAAAATTTTGCCAGCACTTGATTGTAATATTCATCAGCTTGCGGCTCCGAGGCTTTAGCGAATCTAGAAAATCATTACTAAATTTGAATGTATTCGGAAACTTACGTTAGTGCGAGCATGAATGCGAAGATAACAGCTACCGTAGATTGCATGATGGGCTTCTCTCTTGCTAGATCACAAGCGAATGTGACTGAATTCAGGGGCGGAGCAAGACTTAGTCTTGATCCATCCTTGTGGAATTTTTGATTGATTGCCCGAACTCGGAAAGAATAGGGGGAGGTGGATTCTAATGGGAACTTATGATTCATATTAATTAGAAAGTCCGACTTATATATTTTGATGTTTCAGAATGGAAGATAAGGAGTTGGATCCATTAAATCCTTTAATGGTAGAATTTTACGAACTTTGTGAAAAAAGTGATATCAAAGAAAAACAGGTGGCATGACACGCATGGAATTGTTTTTATCCTAATTAAGATAACATATTGGAGAGCAGCACACTGGTTGAAGAATGACTTAGCGGACATAAGAAAAATTACTGATGCAAGTATTGGTAAAATTGCGAAAAACTGTTGTGTGACAAGGAATTTCGCAATTAAAGCTCACTCTCTTTACCTAAATGCCTTAGATAACATCGGAGGTATTGTTTACATAATCAATTGATTGGTTTTGTAAGATTAGTCTGCAGAGAAATCTGCATCCAAGAAGTCAAGCGAAGAGCCAGAAGCTGGTAAAAAAGAAACGCCAGACAACTCTGAAGAGAGCGTCATGAATGACTCTACCAATACTACCAAAAATGAAAGGAGTAGCAGACGAAAAAGTAAGTTGTTTATTGCTCATTCGCATGTGAGAACGTAAAACATAACAGGATCTGTAGTGAAACGTTTCGACGACGAATGCTTTGACGAAACTTCCGCGAGAAAAGCTAAATGTGAGTCAATTTGTTAACTTTTTCAATTAAATCTCTAGACCCAAAAGTGAGTCCTTCCAATGACGCTGTTTCTGAAACAGCTAGTAGTGCCGACGAAACGGAATCAGTTCCTGGTAGTTTGTCGTTTCCTTCTCGTGTCGTATTGTTTGTCTTTCAGAGGATTCTATATCGACGACTGAAAAAGAGGCTCCTCCTGTAAAAGCGGAAAATGCTGAAGTATTTTTTTTGGATTGTGATGGTTTTATTTACGAGGTATTTAAGGATGAAGCAGAAGCTGAGGGGGAATGTATTGTGGACGGAAAGAATGTTTGGCCCATCATTGTTGATCTTACAAAGAATTCCAAAGCTTATACTGGTGATCGGTTAGCAGAACTACGGGAATGTCTTGCCATGTGAGCCAACTTCATTAACGTAAGAGATATTTTATTTCTTTTCAGAGCTATTCAGAAAAGCCCGGTAGACATCAATATAAGCAGTTTCCTTAAGTCACATACTAATCTTCCTCCTGCGACTTTTAAAAAGTTTTTGAGAACTTTGCGTACGATGGTTAAAAAGTCTGAGACTCCGCCATTAAATACAGATGATGTAGATGTTTCTGTAAATGTGAGTGTTCGCTTCACTATGTCATTTGTTTTTCACTTATAGGAACCAAAAGAAACCGAAGTAAAAGCTCCTCCAGTAGCTGAAAAAAGTATCTCTCGTAGAGAATCAGGTACCCCGGCTTCATCTCGTAAAGATGAAACGGAATCCATTTCCTCTCGTAAAGAAGAATCATCTTCCTCATCAAAAAATACATCCAAGTCATCCAAATCTCCGGCTAGTAGTAGACGTGGATCAGATCTCAAAGAGATTTTTCTCGAAATTACACCAACTAGGCCCTGTCCATATGTTGCTGCCAACACTACTTTACCGTCCTATGTCTTAGACGATTTGGATAAAGGCCAAACTAACTTCTGTATGTTTACACAATTCTGTTCATCTGTTAAATGAATAGTTTAAAGCGGTACCTCTGTACCCACGACCTGGAGGAAAAACTAGAATGGAAGTGTCTAAACATATTGATGCTTGTCTGAAAATCTTGGAACGTTTTGACAGTCCTCTAGTAGAAGCGGGAAAAGAAGTTATTCAAGAAGCTATCGATATGGTTTGAAAAAGGCAATAACGTTTCATCAGTTATTCCAGGTATTCATGGATAAACGATCAGTAGAGTACACTGCTTGTTCTACAGGCCTTGATGTTTTCCACCTAGCTGGACTGTGCACCATGGTTAATGCCAAGCTAACAAGTTCTCCATTGGGCGATGTTCCTCTTTTTGACATATACAAATCAATCTCAGTGTTTAGGTTGATGACACTGGGTTGGAGAGAATATTTTTCTTAAATGGAGAGCTCGAGTTATTCCGGCAATCTTTAGTGCAGTCGTTGCTTGAGGTATTTATATCCATGATTCAAGTTCAAGCTTTTTTTGAGTTCAGAAATGTGCAGAGGAGGACCAGAAAGATTCGAATATGATTCTAGCTTGTGTAGATGTTCTGATTGACAATATGACTCCGACTAAGGTTTGTTTAGATTGCTGACATTTTGTTTATCATGTGTTACCTCAGGCCAGTTACTCAAGACAACATAAACTAGCGGATATTGAGAACGTCATAAAGAAAATTGGAAAGGCTTGGAATCCCAATAGTGTTATCAATAATAATTCTTTGACTGAAGAAAATCAAAAAATAGTTAATCGTTGGCAAAGCCACTACCAGAAGAGATATAGAAAGTAATTTACCTATTAAATAAATATGTATTTATACGAGATTCTGATTATATTAAATTTATCACATTAGAAATAAATCGTATATGTTCGAATTCTGTACGTGAGTTGCCGTCAAGTTGGTTTTGCTTTCCATATTTTGATGGCTTATTAGTCCTTAGCATAATTAGTTAGATGTGTATGACAACGAGAGTTTCACCAAAACGTTTGCTTCTATGGATTGGCTATGATGGATCCAAATTTCCTGAAATGGCTCGAGGCGGGACGGGCTTCGGTGTAGTAGACCTCTTGAAACAAGTAAGTTGACGGAAATTGAAGATACTAGCTAACAATCTCTCCCCAGTTAGAAAATCTGAGACAATTCAGTTTGTACAATGATTCAGGTATTTACAGACTGTTACGAACTCTTTAGAAGAACTGAAACTATCTACGCCTGAGGAAGTCAGCACTGTTCGTTTGTCACCTAGTAGTAGGTAATTTCAGAAAATTCCATGTGAATTTAAAATCTGAAATTCAAGGACTGACGCTGGAGTTCACGCAATTAGGAATGCCGTGGTATGCAGAATTCCCATGAAAGCTTCCCTTTCCCTTGAAAATGCGCAGACAAAGGAAAAGTTTCTTGATCACTGTAATTCAACTATGGATTTAGCCGTTAAAGGTACAAGTCTTTCACAAATCAAGATCTAATGAATTACTTCTCAGACGGGATGAAATTGTTAAATTTCGATCACGTTTCACCCCATTTTTGTGTTCGCAGGCACGTGTCATATAGGTATGACGATTCGAAGTTCTCCTGTTGAATATTCTACTCAGTCATGCAATTTTCTTTCTTTCAGACGTTACACCTATCGAATAGCAGTTTGCCGTGATTGGGATACGTTTGAGAAGCTTCGATATGATCCTTCTATCGTTTGCTTTTCTGAAAGAAACTATATATGGCTTTTACCTCCAGAATTTGATTTGGAGAAAGCACGAAACGTCACAAAATGCTTTGAAGGTTGCCTAATCATGAGAAAGGAGCTGAATTTTAGTTTAGGCGTCCATGTCATGGGATCGTTTTTCAAGCACACTGCACGTGAAAAAAGAAAAGAGGTGATATCACTTAGTGCTATAAGAAATATATTGTTATGCAACATCACGAAGGGTATAACTCTTATTCTAACTCTACTAATTATTCTTTGATTTGAAGGAGCAGAAATCAGTATTCCAAACTCCCACTATGACTATTATAACGTCACAGTTGTTGCGAAATCATTTCTGAGAGAACAAGTGAGTTCTCATCACACCAAAGTATAAATAAAATCGGTTTTAGATTCGAAGGATGATGTCTTGCATAGTATATCATTCATATAACAGAATGCCAATGGAGACTGTGGAATGGCTAATAAGAAATCCTATTGACACTAGTTTTTTTGATTTAAAAATACCCGTAGCTCCTCCCCATGGATTGTTTTTGACTGATGTTGTTTATGATCCCACAATGTTCGATAATCCTTTTCCAAAATACGCTGATAATTGGGTTGAAAATTAAAAGTTCTTTTCTAAGAATATCACAGAATAAAAGTTCAAATATTTGAAACAAATGATGCAGTAGATGTCGTTTTAAGATCCTGATATTGGAAAATGGTCTCGGAGCGATGTGTGTAGTGACGCCGCGCATGTGGATACTGTAGAAAAACTTGTGTTTAATTTTTTGTCTTATTAAATTTTCCCGCCATTATAGCAAAATATGCATATTAATTATGAAAAATCAAATGAAAAAATTACCTGTTTTTGTAACTAACAGTATAGATACTCCCTTGTTTTTATTTTTTTGTCTCAGGCTTCTCAGAACGGTTGCATCATATAACCTCTCCTAATATCATTATTTTAGGGTATTTTCTAGATAGTCTATCGACTATTTTCGTATTTCCTTTATAATCAACTTTTGTAACTTCTGTTCCTTTCTTTAGTTTAAAGAGGTAAGCTTCATATTTTATTAGTTTTATGACAGTATTATATTCAGTAATAATGGACGGCCAAGATAATAAGAACTCTAATAATAACATCGAAGAAATCAAGGAGAATGGTCATACCAATTCTGACACTCAAAATAACAACGGAAACGCTAACGGTAACAAGAGCAACAAAGGCAATGAAGATAAGTAAGTTTTTTTTTCAAATTTTGAAACCTTTATATAGTCATAGCTCTGATATCACAGTAGTTCTTATCTGTATAGTATAGTAATCATTTTTTTATATTTTCTTGTTCCAGGAAAATTTTCGTTGGTGGAATCGCCTATGACGTTACTAATGAAGATTTAATTAATCACTTCACTACTTATGGAGAAGTTGCTCAAGCTCAGGTCAAGTTCGACAGAATTACTGGAAGATCTCGTGGATTTGCTTTTGTTGAATTCGCTACTGGAGAAGGATGCAAATCCGCTCTCGGAGCTCGCGAACAACATATCAAGCAGAAGCAGGTACTGTTACAAAATATGTTTTAAAGGTGAAACAACTTCTCTTCAGGTCGAGGTGAAACCAGCCAAGTCTCGTGAAAACAAGAAGGTCTTTGTTGGTGGTCTTCCATCTGATTTCTCTCAAACCGACTTGAGCAACCATTTTGCTCAATTCGGAAAAGTTGAAGATATCGAATGGCCTTATGACAAGGTCACCAAGGCCAGAAGAAACTTCGCCTTCATCGTCTTCGAGGAGGAAGAGGCTGCCGATAAGGCATCTGCTCAACCTAAGCAGACATTCGGAAGCCGCGAATGCGACGTTAAGAAAGCTGTCCCTCAAGGAAAACGATTCCCAAATATTGGACGTGGAAACGGTATGAGACAATATGGAGGACGTGGTGGAGCTAATAACGGAGGATGGTACGGAAACTGGGGTCAGATGGGAGCCCTTCCATACGGTGGAGCCGCCTGGGGAGATTGGTATGGTAACTCTTACTACCCACAGCAGAACGGAGCTGCTGCTGCCTATGGCAGTGCTTACAACGGAACAGGTAACATAGCGAACTAGAACTGAACTATATATATCCCTGTTTCAGCTAATGGTTATGAGTCTTACCAACATCAAGGCAACAACCGTCAGAATGGAAATGCTAATGGCCAACAGCGTTATCAACAAGCTACTGCTCAGCAACAATACTAATGGGCTGGGTCCCTTTCTCCTTGGTTCTCTTGGCTCTTTAAAAATTGTCCTCTTCTTCTATTCTTTAATATATTTCCCACTAATCTATAGTTGTTTACTAGCTCGACTATCTAGAAGCCCGATAACCCGCACTCTCACAGTAAGATCTATCGTGAGCTTCTCTGTTTAAAGAGAATATTCTATATTGCACGTTGCACCTCTTTTTTTGCAGCTACTTTGCACAATTCCACACACCTTGTCGCCTTGTTATGTTCTATTTTTAATGGCTGATGGGTAGGATCCATGTGCCTTTTCTAGCAAGGTCGTTTTCATTAGAGATCTTAACATATGATTTTGCTTTTTGTTCTAATGGTAACTTTTTTGTTGTCGATTGTAGTAGATCGCACTGCCAAGCTGAGTACATTGCTCATGGTTCTGTTATGTTGTCTAAGTTTAGAACCATTCATGTGTTACCGGCCTTTCTTGATATTCTTATGAGCTGTTATCCGGCTTATTTTTTGCTTGCTGGTTCAGCAATTCGTTGACGTTATCTCATGTATCTGATGAAGTTCAGGTACTCATTGTTGTCTGCTTGTTGTCTGAATTTTTCTGTTGTTATGTAGTCCGGTTATTATACGTTCTGGAGGTGCTGATAGAGATTTCGTTATTGTTGAATCTTTATCGTATGTCAAAGCGTTATGATTTGGCTATGTATTCGACAATTATTAGATTAAAGAATAAATTTTGAGGACATTCTATTAATTGATTGAAGCATCATCAAGTTTTCATCGTGATTATACCTATATACATCTACCGAAGTGATAACCATGTTTCACCTTAGAGGATAGAATGACATCATCTTTGGATAGTTTCATGAATAGAGTTATATCGGTTATAACTGGTGATGGTCGGAACATTGTTGGAGTGCTGAAGGTTTGTTCAACACTGCTTACTGGGTAAATATTCACTAACAGGGTTTTGATCAATTAATCAATCTCGTACTGGAGGACGCTCATGAAAGATCGTATTCTGAAACTCAGGGTGTTGAACAAATTCCTCTAGGATTGTACATTATACGAGGGGACAATGTGTAAGTGTTGAAGTTGGATCTTTTATTGTCACCCTAAAATTACTACGTAAATTCCGAAAATTTAAACTAAAATTTCTCTTGTGAGATGAAATCAAAAGATGCTAGACCTTGAAATGATTAACCAAATATTTGAAACCATACTACTTTTCGAACGGAGTTTACATATGGCAGTTGTTAGTACTACCACAAACTGACCCGTTGTCTTCTGTTGCAGTCAGGTCAAGTCTACCCGTCCTTCAACAACCTAGATTAAGATATATGCGAATGTTTTTGGTCATATCTAGTTAGCCATATGATGCAAAAGTTATTTGGGGAAATTACGTTCTTTCTAAAACCTGATTAGGTAAAGTTTCGCATTTGTCGAAGCGTATTCTGCTGCATTTGTTATTACACGGCCACAGACCACCCCATCGTCCTCCAATCGATTATTTGCGGATGGGCGTCTTGCGAACGCGTACTTCAAATCTTTTCTGTCGAGCTTACATTTGGCTTTATTCTGCATTTCCATCGTAATCACATGATGAACTAACGAATGTTTTTTTTGGTCTAGTATTTGGTTAGATGTTTATGAATTTCGAAACTCATACGCTAGCCGTTGATAAGAAATTTATTTTATCAATTGAATTACTATAGTATTTGACGATTTTCAGAGCTGTCGTTGGTGAAATTGACGAAGAATTAGACAAACGACTTGATTTGAGTGGAATTAAGGCTCCTCCACTTGATCCCATCTGGGTAGCTTCCTAAATACCTCGTTGATTCTCATATTTCAACCTATTGTAGTGTATCTAACGTTAGCTAATTTAATCGTTAATTTCGATCTCTTCTTGTATTAGCTCCGTTCTTTTATAATAAAATTCTGTATTTTCTTCTCTTTATTGAATTATCGAGTTGTCGTTCTCTCATATTTTCATTTGGTCTGTTTGGAATATTATGACACATTTCTTCATTTAGACGTTATCGATTTTGGGATGGCCGATGCGGTCAAGCAGTTTCAACCAGATGATGAAGTTTTAAGAGGAGTTGATGAGGTTGATTGGACTGAGGATCCAGTGGATGATGACGTTAGTTCAATTTTCTTCCTAAATAGTTAACTGTTTCCCTTCCAGTCTGAACATTTCGATTTGGACTCACTCGAATGCGTAGATGAATGCGATGAGTTGAAAGGCAACCCCAAGATGGAAGTAAACTCCCGGAAATACTCTAACGGTAACCACCGAAGAGCGGTTAGTGACTATTTTATTTTTTCATCATTTTTATGAAAAATATTTCAGGATAGGAAGAGAGCTTACCCATCAAAATACCAGAGAGGTTCAAAACATCGTGATATGATAAAGGTGTGTATATTCCTTATTTGGCCACTCGCAATATTGATAAACTTGTTTTTTTAAGTCTTTAACAACACTTTACAGAAACCCATGAGTAAACCTCGGCAGGAATCAAGAGAAGAAGCACACATTCCCATGATTCCCCCATTTGCGGAATTAGAACTGGTCGATTGCTGTGAGTCTTTGCCAACGTTTTATATGAATTTTATGTTATTTTAAGGTGATGCTGACGAAAACGACGTCAGATCAAGGCCTTCAACATCTCAAGAATCTAGAAGTCTCATCTCTGAATCCATTCAGTTAGTCTATCTTATATCGTTGTTCTAATTAAAGAAATAACTGGTACTTTTTTCAGTTCAATGGATGAGCGAGATGTTGTTTCACCTATACCAGCAAACATGGACGGTGAAGACTTGCCAGATGATTATGAGGATGAAGATTTTCCCTCACTCGACGAAGCAATTGACGTTGAAGCTATGAAAAAAGCTTCCATGATTAACTCCGATCCTCCAATACATTTGGATTGCTCTTATGATCAAAGGAATGGAACAGCAAACCACGTTAATATTTCTCCAAAGAATATCGGTACGACTTGGAATACTTATATGGACATCAAGAACATTCTAAAATATGGTTCTCCTAGTCTTATACTCGCGTAATGTTCAGAGGTTTCCCGAAAAAATGGAACGAATAAGGAGGATATCCATGCCATGGCTCCTTTGAATGATAAGCACCGTAAATCGGCGTCATCTTATGAATTGGATTCTAAGGAAAAAGAAAGGAAAAAGGAAAAACTTCGAGACGCTAGAGACGTGTTCAGACGCTCTGAAAAAGCGCAACACAGAACTTCATCTCCATTCCACCAACGACGTAACTATAATCAATCGAGAAAAAAAAATGAAAATGTAAATCGACCGGAGAAAAAAGAAAATCCAAGAAATGGATCTACACCGACAAAAATATCTCCTAGCTTGTCAAATGGTTCGTAATATGCTTTTTTTTTTGAAAGTGCCAATCCCATCAAATACTTTACCATTACCATTGCTAATGAGATCGTTGTTCTTTAGCGTCGTTCGTGCGAAGCAAAAACCGACCGAACAGGGAAAGGGGAAGACCCCAACGGCGGGATGGAGGATCTTCAACAAATTCCAATTTGCCTCGAAGCAATGCTAATAATAATATTGGACCGAAACCGACGAATAGCCTGTACAGAAGTCACGAAAATGTCTCTTCATCGAAATCTCCCTCCGATGCTGCACGTGGAATATCAGAGCTACCAAAGTTGACAGTGCAATGTTCGAAGAAAGGGGGCCGCGTTGTTGTTTCAACGAAGAGTACGTGAATTTCAAATTTAAGCCACTAACTTTTGTTGATGTTCACCCATTTGATTGTTAAAATTTACTTTTCAGCTTTTCCAACTCAATTGCAGTCAGGCTCACCAAATGGGAAGAGCAGAAGAATTGTTGGATAATAAGTAGCAGTGTTCTCCTACCCCCAAACTATTGTGATATAAACTATTGTTATAAAATGTAATATTTCATATTTTATATTCGATTGTTCTCCTGAATTTGCATGTATTGACTGCTTTGGTTCTCGTCGATACCTATTTGCGTTAGCATTAGCGCCAGTTCCTCGTTTGCTGGTTAAACAACTGAAAACTGTAGTATTCATAGTTTTTATTCTTGTATTTTTCATTTGCCACTCTGTCAATTATGGAACAAGTAAAAACATTTTATAAACTTTTTTATGCTTTCTAAAAACGTTGATATTCCACTGTATACTTTAGCTTGTACAATGTTTGTTTTATAACTACAATTGTCATGCAGATGGCCGAGATAAATGAGAGGGCTTCTACTTCGTCACCTCCTGTACCATCAACACCCGCTCCTGGACCAGAGCTTCGTCAACTAGCTGATGATATGTATTCCAAAGTTGGATCATTCTTACAAGGACAAATTCAAGGTTAGTCAATTAATCTTATTAAAGTGTTTGAGATTCACAGAGCTTCATGAACAATGAGAGTAGCAATGATTAGTCCTTAATTGATTCGGAGTTTTTAGGTACTATGGATGAATATAAACTGTTAGAGGACATGAACAAAACCACCGCCCAACGATATACTGACATGAAGATCGTTGCTGACAAGGTTGAGGATAAGCTAGAAAACTTGAATAAGAAATGTAAGTTGAATTGATGAACAACCCAGCATGGATGAAAAGCCTTGGAGAAAATACAACCGCTCACTTGTGCAACACTTCAAAAAATGAATACTTAACGTTTGGAAAAACAAAATCCTAATTTTGCTGTTCTAGTTTTGTTACTAATTGTTTAAATTCAGATGATTCCTTGAAGCCTTATCTAGAGCAGATTGATAAGATTGATGAAAGTACGAGAAAACTGGAAGAAGCGACTAATTATTTCGACCAGTATGTGTCTAGCTTGGGTATAATTCGTTCTATATCTTTTTTGATAATGTAGTTTGTTTTCAGAAGCAAAATTTCAATCAATGAAACAGCCTGCTCCTTGAAAAATCTGATTTGAGTATATAGCTTTTGATTCTTTGTAAACAAGCTGATTCATTACCGAAAGGAGTTCAGAGTGATGTCACTATTCTCAAAGCTCGTAGATCGCGATTTTCTTTTTTGTAACTCTGTAATTTGATCCCATTGTGTTGTGGTTAAGGAACAGTTCAAGTCTGTTGATTCATTTTCGATTTCCAGTCTTATTTTGTCTTGTAAGATGTTTTTTTATAAAACTACAACCTACACACGAGTTTTGAGCATTATTCGAGTGATTTCCACTTTGATCTGTACGGTCTTGGTTGTGTTGTATTCAATTGTATTCAATTGTATTTCTAAATAACTATAGTTGACTTATGTTTCTTATCAGAGCTTTGTGTTATTGATGTTTACTTTATTTAATGAGCCAATCATGAAAACTAGTCATAAACTTAATGTTCCAAATAAAACTCTTATTAATGGATTGATCATTAAAGTACAGCTGTATGCACTATCTCGTCTATTGAGTAGATAGTCTTGGAAAGTCAATCTCACTTTTTTGTCGGAGTTTCGGATCGTTTGAGGTTGAATATATAAATAAAGTACATTCGTTTTCTAAGAAACAACGGTCACATTCCAATCCGAAAACACAAAAGGAAAAAGATTTACTAAAAGTGTTTGATCGTTTTTAAGTGGAATTTTTTTTCTTTTACTCGGTTCAATATCCGCATCTGTCTCTTTCTTTTGTTTCAATCAGCCTACTGATTCAGATTTTGAAAGAATCTTCAAAAGCTTCGCGTGTAAGCAGGATTCCATCTGCTCATCTTGAAAATGATTCATGAAGTTCTGGCTGGTAAGCTGGGATTTAAAATTTTTTTCTGAAGAAAATGCTTTTTTACATAAACAGTCTATTGATCGCTATCGTATTTTGCGTGCCCTATGAAGCAAACACTTGTATTGACCTTTTGTCTTTTATTCCATTTCGAAGCCTCTTAACACCTATATCCAGTGAAGTTCCGAAAAGGATTTCAAACTGTACCATATTGCAAATTAGGAATGCTTAATGAGCTAGTTGGATGATACATCTAACCAATCCAATTGAATTAGAAAATATCATGCAACAGTTGAGAACGTGCACAGTATGAAGGAAGAGATGTAGTTTGTTGAACAATAATGAAAAACTTTTTTTTGGTTATATTGTCGCTTCTCTTTCTCCGGGATTTATTCAATTATGTATGTTTCACAGTCTTTGGACTCTCAGTTTGAATTTGGTTTTATTTATATTTTGAGATATGTATTCGTACATCTTTATCCGCTCTAACTCTCTCTATGTCTTCCTATCTGGCTAACGATCCCGACTTCTTCTTGATACTTTACTATGTCGTTTTTCGGTTTGTGTTGCGTGTTAGTGACCTGTGGATCTTTTTTTCCTGAAACTGATCGGAAGTGTTGGGGAATATTTGTATGTATGACGTGGTATTTCGACGTGCATTTGATTCACCATCAACTGATACTCTTTGTTTTTGTGATCAAACCGTCTTGTCCCATTGTTTCTTAAATTTTGCCGTTTTTTAACATCAACACCCATAATGAAACTTAGACGGGCGAAATGTTTGCTCGTCTTTAAACTTTAAACTCATTTTTGTTTTCTGAAATAGTTGCGTTTCATTGAAATATTTTAATTCGTTGACACAATTCCTCTAACTCAACTCGGCTCGTTTCTACTTTTTTTCTGAAGAAAAAAGCGGAAGACCAATTTTTTTATTACAATGTGGAACAAAACCCTCTTTACTTCTCAGTCCCTCAGTTGTCCTTCTGCAAACTGACCTATAAGGATTGGTTTAATCTTTTTCTTGTTTTCATGTCTTCCTATCATGTATTTCTTCAGGGGCACACGTCAGTAAACATCAAAACGCTTGTAATGGTCTAAGTATGAAAAGTGTTTGATAAGCATTAAAGCCAACTTCTCTTGAACATGAGAATAGAGAAGTTGATTGAGGTAGTTTAGACTGAGGTACGCAGTGGCGTACTGGTGACCTCATTCAGTATTTACTTCTCTACGATTTGGCTATTTGCTCACTGAGAGAGTAGACGATGAGAAGCACTGGGCACTCTAGCACGCATTCCATCTCAAGCCAATCAGCTTCTGCTGCTACTCCGGGATACTAGATAGTTCTCTTGGTCGTGCGTTTCCTCTTTTTCATAAGGTTGACTGTTAGTCCGCTCTCTATCTCTCTAGATCTCCGGTTTGCAGTAGAGACTAGAGCTTCAAACGATGTATTCGCATTCTCATTGTCTTTCTCTATGAGTTTGTAGTCTATACATAGTGAGCATCAGTGAAGAGAAAGAATGAAAGGAGAAGATTACTAAAAAAACAGAAAAGTTTGAAATGAAAGGTGGTGGGCTGAAGAAATGAGCGAAACAGAGATGTTAGACAAAGCTTTCTGTTGATAATTATGAAGAGAGTACTAAACGAATGAAAGACGAAAAAGTGAGATATAAGACGCCAGAAAAATTTCAAAAGTTTGAAGAATTCCGAAGTGAGCAACCGTTCAGTACATCAAATCATTCCATGAATGACGTGTTTTCACGGGAATTTTCCACGTGTTGACAGCGTTAGACATGTACCGTATGCAAATTGGTCTTTGATAGAAGCATGTAAATAATTTGAAAAAAAAATTAATTTGTTAAATACAATTAATAACAGTCTGTTAGTAGCGATTAAGAATGACCACTGTAGTATATGATGTATTTGCTGAAATGTCATACGTTTACTTTTGGACATAGTTAGGCTATTCTCTCTTTTTAACAAATTCATTGTAAGAAAAATGCTTTCAACTATTCTGTAATATGACTTTCGCATAGTTAGAACGAAAAAAAAGGAACAAAAAAAGAATTAAATTACAAAAATGAATGTTTAAAATGCAAGCGAAGACTGGGATAAAATTAGGGGAAAAAAAAAGAATTTTTTTGTTAAAGATGGAAAATTAGCTCAAAGTACATTTATGGGACTGGAACATCCATTAACTTGACATTTCTCATGCTCATCACTCAAAAAACATTGTCTTTAGAGTCTTGTCTTCAAAAAAGTAAAGTTAAAAGATGGAAAGTGAGATTGTCCCTATCTTAGAGTCTGTCTACATCTCCCTCTCCAATGGCATTCTGTAGTTTAGTTTTGTCCTTCTTTTTTTTTTGTTAGTGGCGCGATTGATGAGGATGACATTTATGAGATTAATTTGTTATTATTAAATAATGAAGAAAAATATTGCTATCGAACATTACAATATTCTATCGTATCATTTACATAGTTAATGTCCATCTTCATCTTTGTTCAAATAATTTCTATGCAAACAAATTTGTATACGCCCTCTTGCCCTTTTTTGGAAGACATATTTATTTGAGGCAAAAGCTGCTGTAAGACCATCTGTCGTACACTAATTTCCGTTTCAGATTTTCACAAAAGACCTTTTTTTCTCTCTTTCATTCACTTTCAAGCGAAACTCATTGATGACGCATTACCTAAGATTTATTTCAAGACATAAAAGTTTTATTGAAGATTTCCCATTTTTAGTTTGGGAGTTGTAATTTCATTTTATTCATGAACTTACAGCTTTTTTTTCAACACTTCTTTTTTGTGCTGATATTAGGTTTATTATATGTTCAATGAGAGATGAAGATAGGAGAGGAGTGCCTGTAAGACGCTTAGAGACAAATAGAGTGAGAGAGAAATTCGAGGAAGAAAAGATAAAATGGAACTGTGAGGTAGACGAGGTGGCGTTGCTCCGTTCACTAAATCCGTTGGCTACTTACGATTCGTTCTTTCGTCTTGCAAATGTCGTTGCGACCCTTTAGACATGTCTCGCATAAGTGAGCTCAGAAGAAGTACTCGAAAAGAGCTCATCTCGTTCTTTTTTGGATTGGTTGATATGATGACAAAAATTTGTCTTCTGAACATGGTCATAAGAAAAAACGGCTATAAGAGCAGTAAAAAAGAGAAGAAAGGAAATTGGCGAGAGAGCGCACATTGAAAAGAGATGAAGAAAGAAGCGAAGAGAGAGAGAGATTGAGCACTTCTTAGAGAAACTCTGTTAAACCATAGCTTTACCTTTTTCTCAGCTTATGCTCATTCTTGTTTGATGTCAACTATTCTTTTTTGAATTCATGAGAACTATTGTCTTTTCCATGAACCGTTCAATTTCATATATTTGACTTCTCAACGGCTGTTCCCTGTTCTCATACTAATCATCTATATCGTTGATTGAAAGTCCAATGAGATGCTTGTTATTTTCAGACTTCTCATATGAGAGTCGGTGCTTTCAACTGTCCATTTGTTTATTTGAACTTCTACTGATTTTTGAATTTCTTGAAAGCTTTTTTCTGCTGATGACTTCTGAACACAAAGAGACACATTCAGATCAAACTGTCATTTTGTTGTTCAGAATATAGCTGTTCTAGAATTAAATGAAAGAAATAGTTCTATGAGACTGTTACCTTAAAGAAAGAGACTAACAGTTTTGGAAATCATTTGAATAAAAGACCTCTCGACTATTCGCATTTGTTGCAATGTGGTGCACTCTTTGACTTGGGTGACAATTTCGAAAAAAACGGCAATAGTGTCAGTAAACAGAGCATAGAGACGAGCAATGGACGTCTAAGAGATAATCTGACCTTCATTTTACTTTCTGCCAGCTCATTTTATTTGTATCTACACGTTGATTGTTTTCTATTTATGTTCTCTAAATATGATAATAATTGAATTCCAAAGAAATACTCATCGTACATGTATTTGGAAATGAAAAAATCTGAAATTCAGTGTGCGCTTTGAGAAACGTCAAAGTCATTTCTCTGTGTTTTGAAGTTGAGAGCGGTTGTTCATAGCTTTTTCCTATCCTCTAATCAATGCATAGAACTGTTTCATTAAATTTTCTTTCTCAACAGATTAAATGACAGTTTTTCATTCATTTCAATCATTTTTCCTATTTCAACTTTCCCCACTCCCTCTCCCCCCCCCCCTTCTACTATCCATACA